AAGATTAGTATAAACTCGGTTAAGAATTTTTCTCGTAACTGGTTAATCTCATTGATTGCCGTTAACCCTTTGACTGTAATTTAAAAAAATGATCCCGTTTTTCTATCCAAGTAAACAAAATATGTCATAAATAAGGCAAATTTAGCATGTTTTTTGATAAACGGCTTTCAAGCTAAAGGCTGGAACACATATGTCTCAGCCGTAGTTGATGGTGGGATACATACGTCCCACACTTAGCAATCGACTTTCTATAAGCACACCTATTGTTCTGAACACTTTATTATATGAAATAGATTTTACATCGTATGGTACAGGGTAAAATATTCTTTGCATAACCCTAGCATTACACATTGGGCAACTCGCATCTATTCTTTTCCCTACGTTCATTTGTGTACAACGAACATGGCGGCGTCTTGATTTTCCGACTATTAGAAGATGATTCCAACATTAAGGAGATTCTAAGTACTTTTCAACGCAGCAGTAATTTTTTTAATTTTTAGTGGGTCACGTATGTCCCGTTGGTAGTCAAAGGGTTAAATATTTGGCCAAATGGTATCTAGACGCAGCAATTCTCCGTGTATTTCTGTCTCCCAATAGGATATTTGCCCAGTTCCCCCTTGCCTCTTTACATTATTTCGTTATTTAATTTCTAAATATGTCTGGGGGAATATATGATGAAAGACACTGATTTGGTGTAGAGTGATTATCATTTCTTTTGAGCGCAGAGTTTCTTGGCTATTTTCATTGTAGATTAATTTCCATGAAAAAAATCATTCCCCAAAATGTTTGCGACTGACACCAAGAATCTAGTCATCATTACTCAGAATGCTTTGGAAGTATCTTGCCTTTTACCACCGTCATTGCCAGATTTAGTGAATGTAATCAAGAAATACAGAAGCATATATAGGGAAACATCTTTTTAATATACTATCAGGCACTGCTGTACATTGGTGTAGGAAAAGTATACATAGAATTACGTATGTCTGCAACTTTTATAGATTGTCCATAAGCACAACGTTTAAGATAAAGTTCCAAATGGCACAAAGAATCTTCAGATTGTGTACCAACGTTACAGATCATATGCCGGATATATTAAATACTTCAAAAACATACAGTAAAAAATAATCTTTTCTTAAATTACATCGCAATGAAGAAATACGAAAAAAATATTTAAGTTCAGAGGTACAAGATAGTAGTAATCTAAAATATATCAATATTTAAAATTCTATTGTAGAAGATTTCTGATTTAATAGAATATGTATGCTTTACTGCACATTCGGAAAATGACAGAAAACTATAAACAAAGAATAAAACTACAGATTTGTGCAAATGTTAGTGGATAAAATTGAAATGATCTGCGAAGATATTACACAACAATTTGGAAGTTCTAGTTTTTTGTATAACATGAAGTGCAGTACACGTACATTTTTATGTGACGATGAAAAGGAAAGAATGTTTTGTGAAAAGGACATCATAGTTTTGAACGTACATGAGAAAATTTCTTTGGTTTGCTAGCAGTTGATCAATTAGCATAGCTGCCTACTGAAGGGAGAAATAAATAGAAAATATGTTGCATTACAAAACGTCGAAAACAGGCACACGTTTTTTGCAGTTTCTATGACACAAATTGTGATCACATTGTGATATAAACATTACGAATGAACTCCACATAGTGCGTTACTTCCTTACAAAGAATCTATCCTCAAGTGGCAATAAGCATATAAAGCATTTGTGTGAAAACACAGATGAAAATGGAATTATCAAATTTTTATGGAGAACGCAGTGAAGAACAACTTCTGACACGATGCAATTTCAAGTGCATTTGAAATCAGTTATGGCAAATATTTCCACATAAGCTATAAAATTTACTGAATAATCAAACAAACTATATAAAGATGCAATTTTAAATACTTTTAAGTAAAGAGTGCATAAAAATATTCCCACGCTAAATAAATCATGTATAAATTGTATTTTGAATTTGTAAATATTTGTATTTTGTAAATACTATTTTATTTGTTATTTTTGTATATTGTTATATTAATACATAAATATTATTTTATTTGTTATTATTGTATATTGTTATATTAATACATAAATATTATTTATTTGTATATATTTATATATGTAAATATCATTAATAGTATTATTATTTTGTGAATATTTATAATTTGTAAATATTTGTGTTTGAATATGTAAATTTGTAAATATTTGTATTTTGAATATAATTAATCATATATAATTTGCTTTTGTATATAAAATTTGTACAATATTTTGAACAATTCATGATAAAAATTTCTTTTCAAAGAAAGTGTCAATTAACGTAAGCATTCAAACTGCAACAACGTTGATCAAGTAGCACTTTAGGAAGGAAAAAAATTTAAAATTTTTCCCGGCTTCTTGATAAGATAATTATTAAACTAGATTTATCACAATAAAGACCTTCTAGAGAGGGAATTATGTAATATGCAAAACTGGAGTTGAAAAATGCTTTAGAAGTTTACTGATTTATCCCATTTTCTCTCTCTCGAAAAAAAAACGTACTTACGATTAATATTAATTTAAAAAAATGAATAAAATAATAAAAATAATTAATTAATATAAACCTAATTAATAATATAACATGATAACATAAAAATAATTATTTAATTAGTTCTTAATATCTATTTAATTAATTCTTAATAATTACTTAATTAATTCATTATCGAGAGAAAATGATGGAATTTTGAAATGTATATGCTTCTATGGAAAATTTTTCATCTCAAGCAATGTAATTCCGAGACCATCATGAAATCGGCATTCGAAAATTCAACACGCATAGTTATCTTTAGCAATACGTATAAAATTCTCAAAATATGTTAATTAATAAATTCTGAGAAGACTTTGATAGTGTGCAATGGATTTATTTTTATTTGAAAAATTTGACTTTGAGAAATACCTGTCTTCGTGGAATTCTATCCCTCTTCGACGAAAAAAATTTAAGTTTTCTACGTTATTGAGAGGTGCTACGTGACCAAAATCATCAACCTTATTTTTATTACTTGAAATATGAATATGGATCTGATGAGCTGTTGATGAGCTGTTCTGTGAGTGTTGTATTATTTTTAGAAAATCCTATTTGCTTTCTAAAATGCAAAAGAATTAGCTTCTTGAAATTTTCCAGAATTATTTACGAATTACAATGATTAATGGATTTGAAGCACCGAATGAATTTCGACTGTAATTAATTAATTTGAATATTCAAATATATTCTGATTGTTCACAATTTAAGTTAACCAAACGACAATAATGAGACCTGCTTAACGTTGACTGAAGCATAGTATTAACCCTTGATTTTCTGACATGTGTCACCGTATTTAGACATTAACGAGGCTTTGTTCTCATTGGTACGTCAAAAAAGGAGGCTGACCTGTTCTGACCATTGTCATACACACTTCACTGTAGTTGTATAACCATAGAACCTTCTTGCGAGGTTTATTTAAAGTAAACGCTAAAAATCAAACTAAAAATAACTCTTTGCATATCTTATTAATAAAGACTTCCGAAATAAATGTTTCTTGTTTCTTACTTCTGTTCTCTCAATATAATGTAAAGGAAAAGAAATAACTTATTTAATTTCAAATGACATCTTTCCAAGTAAATTAAAACGATTGCTTTGAAGAAAATTTGGCACATTAACATGCATCACAGTTTCTACCTTCTTACTCGTTTTTCGGAACATTATACAGTTTAATTTCATTTTAGAAAATGATTTAATGCATATATTTGTTACATCAAGAAGTGTAGTTAAAGGGTATCAAATATTAGCCAGATTTGTTTAAAATAAATCTTTTCTTTTCCTCTTTCGAATGATGTTTTGGTGCTTATTGCAATACTTGCCATAACTGAATTTGAATTTCTTTTTTAAGTGTGACCTCAGATGGAAACAAATATTTCGATTCAATATATTATTAAAAATATTGGTTTCTTATACAAAAGTAAGAGATGGGACAATTTCAATGAAAATATTAATATTTTTTATACAATTTCATGTACATGATAAGTTAGGTTAATTGGTTAATTTATTACGGCAAAGCACGACAGAGCTATTGTGGAGAACTTTTTAAGGGACATTATTAGCTCGCATTCACGTTACACATGAGGAAAATTACGAAAACTCTGATGTAGATGACACGTTCCACAGGCTTCAAGCATAGGAGGAATTACTAGTGTTTAACGATCTTACCACTCGCCCGATGCCAAGCTTGTAAGTACGCGAATTATGTATGTACATGTTTATTTATAAATCAGGTTGGAAATAATCTGAAATTAAAAAAAAAAAAAAAAAAAAAAAAAAAAAAACTGCATAACAATTTTTTTCTGATTATTTTATTATGTTAATAAATACTGCCCAAATTTTTAATAATGTGGATTATCAGATCTCCGAAAGGAATTTGCCCATATGCTACGAAAATTTTTGTGTTTTATAAACTGTAATCAAAAGAAACTTCTCTGTTAACATTTAATAAGAAAAATCACTAAAAAACAAATTACATTTTATTAGATAGCTTCAAAAGAATTCTGGCAGCTTTGTATGACTCAGACGAAGGAGTCAGCAATTCAACAGGACGCTTGTAGATAATGCAACATGTATAATTGTAGCAGTTAGGTTATTTTGAAGGAGGATTACATGAAAAATGTGCAATGCCTCCGCCAGGACTCGAACCTGGACCTCTTGAAATAGGCGCCGAGTGTGGTACCCTTACACCACGAAGGCATTCATAAAAGGAGGGAGAAATTACCTGATATACTCCCCCTTTTAAAGGGCGACTAGGGATTAGGGCACCCAGTCGCCAAATCCTGGTGATAAAGAATCATCATTCACCACCTTTTAGTTCGGGCGACACTATAGAGTCATTAGGTTATTTGGAAGCAAAGTACATAAAAAATGTGCAGTGCTCTCAGCGGAACTCGAACCTGAACCTCTCGAAATGTGCGCGGAGTATGCTACCGTTACACCACGAAAGCATGTAGAAAATAGCATATTTAATTAAAAACAATTGTAATAAATACATTGGAATTGTTGAGATTTTCTCAAAATTTCTTGCAACTAAAATAACTGAAATAAAATATGAGGTCATATGTATGAAGACCTGCAAAGTGAGCTGCGGAAATTTTTCTGTAACAGTAACAAAAAAACAAACAAAAAAAAACTTTAGCCTTAAAGACAAAGTAACATTTGGTATTTAACAGAATGTGTCGTATTTATTACTGTAACAATGGACGTTTTGTAAATGTAATCACTTTTTAATTTAAATTTTACTTAAAGGGATTACTCCATACTAAATATGTAGTGTGTACATTTTTAGAATGTGTCTATAATAAAATAATTTGTGATTCCAGATGAATTCGGTTTATCTGATACATTGATGTTTGTTCAAAAAATGGGAAATAAATTCATTTCACGCACCTAAGGAACATACATGTGCAATATGTCATACGAATACTATTGATATGCATAGTTGTAAATGCTTTAAGCTTAAAGATATTATTTGAAAAAAACTTGAAAAACATAGCTAATTAACTGAACATAAACATTAATTACCAGGTATTGAAAGAAATATTGTTTATAGGAATGTTTATACCTCGCGCATAAAAAATGATGCTGGATTTCTTTCCAAGGTTATATTCTGGGATGTTATAATTGTGTTTTTATTTCCAAAAATAGTGTGTCAAGAAACGCTTATTTTAAATAAAATATTGACTCGAAATATTTGCTTTTTCTCTGAATGAGTGCTGTATCCGAAATAGGATGTGGAACACAAGTCATTGCAATACTTCATATATACACATATACAATTAAGATATTGTGCACACAGCGGACTGCTTTACCACAGATATATTGGCACCTTCTTGGCTGCCGTTAGAATTGGCACCCGTCTCTTCCAGACTGGCTGCTCTGCTTAAAGATTTCAGTTTTGGAGTAAGTCGCCCAAAATCAGTCACTTTCCTCTGTTGCTCGAGATCTTTCACCAGCCCTTGCGGAGATAACAATTGCTGAGGAGCTGTTTGCTGGGTCATGAACTCTGGGAAGCAGGCAAACATGCTTTGTTGCTTTTTTAGCATCTTGTGCTTGGGTAATTTAGCTTTGGGTTGTAAATCGGAAGAGTGAGGGATACCACGTCCCCCTAATCGACCATCCCAGACAGTGCCAGCTAGGTGTAGGTGCTCTCTTGATCCGAATGGGGAAGGAACTCTTCGAAAATCTTCCAGACTCAAACCCAGATCGTGTTTTGGGGACGCTGATCTCAGATCCCAGTAAAATGAGTCAAATGATTGCTCGCGCTTCAGATTGCCACGAAGTAGAACTCTTTGGGGAACAACTCCTCTCCAAGAATGCCCTAGAATAAAATAGAAGGTGAGCATTGTTGAAAGAAAGATTTTACAACACATTTAAAACAGTACCTCAGTCTGTAACTGATGTTAAGCAATGTTGGGTGTTATTCATTGTAGTAAATTAGCAATAAGAGCTTTGCACACACGATTTAATTAAATACACGTAACGTTTGTCCAAATCAGAAAAGTCAAGGTCCAGTGTTTCAATAACCTATTATTTCACACCAAAATTGACCTAAAATTTATTGGCATTAAACTATACGATTGCCTATCGATATTCGTTCTACAGCTGTGTTATTTCTGTATGGTATTTAACGACAGGTAGTGCTTATATTCTGCATATTAAATAGAGCTATCGCATATGAGAATATTAGATAATTCTGTCACTGCTGAAATTTAAAAGAAACCTTGATTTACTGGTTAAGAAATTTGAGAGGATACTTGGAAATAATTGAAATCACATTCATCTATAATTATATTATGCAGGGAAAAATTGTGCTGGAAATTTGATTTACTCAGTTTTATTTTAGTTAAAAGCTACTTTTTAGGGTTTCAATGAATTCTTTTCATCCGACTGCTTCAGTCGAAATTCGCTTGCAGGATTACTAATTCTTATATGAAGTTTTTTGAATGAAACTTAAAGGAGACATTTTTACTAGTGATGCGTTTATTAATAATAAAGAAATGAACACTTACTGCTTGTCTTCAAGAATGGGCTTTCAGGCGTTCAAAAATATATTTGTTTCTTACTAACTGAAGCATTTGTTCGGAAGTACTTGGAAAATCTTTTATTTTGGAACTGGAAAATTAATTCGGGCTGAAATAAAACTTAACAATCAGTGTGTCAATCGATGAGTACGGTCCTCTTGAATTTCACATTCACGAAATTTGGAAGAACAAATTAAAGCGATTATGAACGTTATAGCTTCATTCTAAAACCTTGTATTCTAGCTACTGTCTCCACAACGATTGTGTTGCTGTTAAAAATACAAAGACGAATGATATATAGAAGTCGATTGTTATAATAACTGAAGCAAAGCTTTTTGAAGTATTATTACTACAGAACTGATATTAAATAGGAATTCATAAATGCAACTAAATAAGTAAAAATGATGCTTTTGTTAAGGAAAAGAAACAAAGAGAAAACCTCCAAGGTGTAGGAAGCAATTGCCTATTTTAGGAGGAAAATCGCTTATACCAATCTTATTATCTACAACTGATTCAACTGGGCAGTATAATAATTACCGATGGCCGAAGTTTAGTGAATTTATACTAAACTGGCTTGTAGAGTCATTAGGTTCTTTTAAAGCCGGAAGACATGAAAAATGAGTAGTGCTCTCGCCGAGACTCGAATCACGGACCCCTCGAATATGCGCCGCGTGTGCTGGCCATTACACCACGAAGGCACACGAAGCAGGCGGGAGAAATGCCTTATATACCCTCTTTTAAAGGGCGACTGGAGATTAAGGCATCCAATCGCCAAATCCTGGTGGGGAAGAATCGTCATCCACCAGCTTTTTTAGTTAGGACGCCGCTGTAGAGTCATTAGGTTATTTTGAAGCAGGAAATCATGAAAAATTAACAATGCTTTACCCGAGACTCTAATCATGGTCCTCTCGAATACGCACCGAGTGTGCTGAATACTACACTACAAAGGCATGATAAGGACGCGGGAGAAATACCTTATAGGCTATATATAATGCGATACAAAATGCTAACAGAACTTTGTGAATATCTTCCAGGAATGAATAGTTTGGGAATGATTTATGAAGTTCTGTACCCTACAAGACAAACTTTTAGAAAGATTCGTGCAGATTAATAAAAGAAGTGTTTCTATATATCTCAGACATTTGATGTTTATTCCAGCTCAATTTGGACATGTCGAAATCAATGGCAATAGGGAAGAAAGGCTTCTGTTTTCCCTGCACCTTCCTTACATCGGTCATTGTCATGAATTCATTTGAAAGAAGAGTACTCATCACAGGCAGAATCTGGATCCGAGTGTTAATTTCAATGCCACATTAGTATAACTGTTATATTTATTAGATTTTCTAGAATATGTATAAATCTGAGAAACTGTAGATTTGCCATCTAGATTTTAATACACCCATATCTTCAAATAGTAATAGGACAAATTTTAGAAATGAACTGAAACATAATTTTAAGCAGAAACAATTGGAATTCATTTACAGTTTAAACTTTAATACGGTGTTGGTACTTCTGCAGCCAAAAAGATACAAGCTAAAACTAAGCCAGAAAGTTAAATATTTTAGTTCAGATAAAACTAAGTATAGTGAAGGGACTTCTAAAGTAAACAATAAAGATACAGATACTTGAATTTCTATGATAAGAGATAAAATGTGAATAAGGTGGGGGAAAAACATTCAAATTCAAATTATTGTTTTTTATTCAATGTTTTTATTCTCCAGTTATAACCATATGGCCCCTCTCGTTTTCTAGAGTATTTGCCATACCTCTGTCAGGTATTACTTACCAACACTTCTATATTATTATCTTATTACTTTGAGAGGCATTATTGAAGAGTTTTCAGAGTAATTAACAGAAAGGAAATGATGAAGATAAGCACATCAAAAGTGATGGAAGTCAGCATGCAATGATAAAGACCATTATACCACTCTGATTTCCATCGCTTCTGTATGCTGTTAAAGTAAGAAATAAAATATCACAGAGTTTTCAACATCAAAATTTTGATTACATTACTCAAAGCTGCATGCATATTCCGTGCTTGCTCAAGGGAATGGAGTAACTCTTACCTGAAGTTTTAGCTTCTTCTGTAACTGGTGTTCCAGGTGGTAGATCTAAGATCATACCTTTAGTTGGATTGTTGTGCAGTTTGAGGAATGGAACTACATTTTGGTTAGCCAGCTGAAGCACTACTTGGGAAAGATTTAGAGCACCAGCCATATTGAGGATGGTTTGGTGAATACCTAGCACAGCCAACCGAACACCGGTACTTGTGCTCCAAATGCCTAAAGTGTTATCATCAGCAGCTACGTAGAGAAAAACATACAAACGTTTGCATTAATTGAACTTAAAAGTCATTTAAATAACTGTTTCAAATGTAAAAAAGAAAACTACAATCTGACACTAAAAACCTTAAAATCACACAATAACTACAATTTGAAACTTCAGTTTACAATCATATAAGTCGAAGAATTCATCATAGTAATTTCAAATTGATAAAAATATTTTAAGAGTTAAAAAATAGAAAAACAGCGAAGGATAAAAAGAAATATCAACCAGATCTATGTACGCAGATTTAAAATGAAGGCAAACTTAAAAAATTCTAAGTAGGCAGACTTTAAACAATGAAGACAATGCTATGTAGGCAGACTTGAATAATTCTAATTTAAGCATATACGTTACCGTTATACTCAAGGATAAATCTCCAAAATTTTAATCAAGAGGACATAAAATCTTGTATCTAAAATCAGAAACAAATGACAGAATAGCGATTTTCTAACCACAGGTGATGCGGAGATTTATTTAATAAGGAAAGGAATTAATCATTGAAGATCGAAGATGCAGCTGCGTATCTATTTCATGAAATCGCTTATTGCTTCGAAAAATATTCCTTTAAAATGGTAATATTTTTTATCAGAAAGCAAAATCCACGAATTGAAAGGAGAAAAGTCTTCTTTCGAAGTAATAATAACTAATCACATCGAAGATCTTTACCTATCTCAGTTTACTAGTCTACTTTACGTGCTATCTCTTGTTTAAGTGTTGATCATTTATGTGGTTCCAAATTTCTCATCAACTTTCAGTCAAAAGTAATATCTAATGCAATTACCATTTCCTATTGATTTAAATTAAAAGATACAAAATAACTTCAAGATATAATCTAATTCTGCTTAGCTGAAGAAACCAAAATAGATCTTCTGGACGTGCAGTCTAGTTCAGTCGCCTTACATTGAATGCACCAGAATAAATCATTCTCGATAAGCAGAGACTGGGTAGTTTCTATTTATGGAACTGTATTGAGCGATTCGTCACAGTAGCATGTAAGCCAATCTATGGCTGAATATTAATCTCTTGTGTTTAAAATTTTTGTTACTTGTTTAGTGTTGTAATCGCTTGTTTTTAAAATTTTACTTGCTGCATACCTTTATCTTGCATGTGTTTTATTCAAACCTTTTTTGTTATAAAACTGATAATTTAACTGAAAAATTAAAAGAATTTTTGTGGTACACTATTACTTCAAAGTAACTACATCGGTACTATTTGGTACACTCGGTGATCCAAAAGTAAGAGGAAAAAATCAATAATTCAAAAATTATAAACAATAGCATGATTCGGTTTTCACAAAATGCACAGAAAGAGAGTGCGTTTTTTAAAGAAAGTTTTTTGTTGCCAAGGTAGTTACTCCTTTTCACCGACAGGTTTTGCTGCTGTTCCGTCAAGAGTTTATATAGTGCTCTATTTCAGATCACAATGCATCTAGAATTACAAATATTCAGTAAAACGCTAAACATTCACGAGACCGGGCATCAGGCGAGACTTGACAAACTGCATAGCATCCAAGAGGGTTCAACTGTAATTCCTTTCATATGATGGTAAATAACTTCTTTCAATATGGCCTTATAATGTCGGCTGACCTCTGAGACTTAAAATTGCAAATATTTTTGCAATAAATAATTTGATTATTAAAAAAAACTGATATTTGCTTTTCATTTCTGTAAAAATTGTTAAGTTGCTTTCATCTTTACCTTCAGTTAATTGAATTTTATGTATTATTGCAGAGTTGGGTTATCTTTGGTAACGTAAACTAGTATGACAGACTTGGAGTTAATCATCGCTTCGCCTGAAAAGAACCACAGAGTCTTGATAAGGTTTAAAATAACTTTTTTATGAAATCAGAACTTTAATCAGAACTTAATGTTGAATCCTAATTTAGAGTGAAGAAGTGATCAATCCAACTTTACAAACTTTTAATTTTACTGAGAGAAACAGAGATGAAGAAATCATACCAGATATTGCCAATGTTCCATCCAAGGTAAGTTTGACGCATGTAACATTCTCAGTATGACCACGTAGTGTGAAATTGTCATTCCCTGTTGTAAGATCCCAGACGATCAAATTGCAGTCAGCTGATCCTGATACTGCAAGTGAAGGACTGAGGGGGGCGCAGGCTGCACACGTAACAGGACCTTCATGACCAACTAGAACCTAGACATTGAAAGAAACTATGCTTAAGCCATTTATTTCTGTGAAATAGTATTACAAAGTAAGTGGTTAAAGTTCTTTCCCAGCTTAGGTATAACTACTTGGCGTGTTTATTTTGCATTAAGAAATAATGTCTTCCAGAAAGAAAGTAATTAAATTCAGTGAAGATATATATATTCGCTAATAAATTTCAAGAAATATAAATAAGCATCGTATGTTTTATGATTCGGAGAGTATGTAAATGATATCTGCCATGCTTGTCAGTTTAGCGATGATTTATATTTCACATAAATCTAATTATAACATGTTTTTGTTACTTACAAACAGGACTTTACAAAAGAAATATTTATTACAATATTACTACTAGACTTTATAAAATAATAAAGAAGACTTTATAGACTTTATAAAAGAAAGTTTGAAAAAAATATATTGGAAGGAATACCCACAGTTTTAAACGTTTTTTAACTCAGGTATTCTCAACAATTACAACATTTTATCAGCCGCACTGGTTAAAAACCAGACTCAAACTCCGATGCGACCACACTACCGAAGTTCTCCAGACAACACCAATTTTCAACTGATGGTCTGTCTCGCTTGCTGGTCCTTAGCCGCGAGAAGGAGGCAGATGATTGGTGAACTGCGGACAGACACATGACAATATCCATTTCTTTTTCTAATACATTCTCGTAAAGGATTATCATCTTCTTTGCACAGCTATCTGATAAATCAAATAATTAGGAAACTAATTAATTTAATTATTATTTAATGCTATATTTAGCATGCCTTTTCCCACAAATTACGAAAATTCACTTCTTTTCCAAAGCTTTCATAAACAACCTCGTAAATAATCACAAAAAAATTATCTCAATTGTCATAAATGTAACGACATAAACACTAGTTTCTTAACCTTTTGAGGCCGGGGCTTTGGTAGCAGTAAAAGCTACCAAAAGACGGGAAATCTTGAACCGAATGCTTTCCCCCCATTAAGAAATCACCTCCTATTTGCAACAAAGATTCTTGTGTAGTTTAATGGATTCTCAGAGGGGTGCATCTATGTCGCAAAAAGATCTTTGAAAGAGATAAGTGGTTGAAAACCCAGGGACGTCAATTTGACATTCACCCACTTTCACCTGTAAATGGAGAAAAAGACATAGCCAATAAAGTGGACAACCCCGTCCATTCAAACAGGGAATACAACTACCAATATATTGGCCATCCGTCTACAAAAGGTTAAACAGGTATGATACGTTAAGTTTAAACTTTAATTACTTTCTAAAAAGGAAACTTTTATTGTGCATAGAAATCTTCAAACAAATTTAATGTATTAACTAATGAATTTCTTCCATTCATTTGAATTCAGTTCCATTCAGAAGAAAATTTAAATACATGACCAGAGTTATAATACTAGTATGTGTCAAAGGATTTCTGAATTTTCTTGTTTTGTCATGTAAAACGTTTGAAGTCGCCCAAAAATGTGTTAGTCATATTGTAATTTCTGCTCTGTTTTATTACCCTAAACTTAGCTAGAAATTAGATGACTTAGGGATCTTAAACTCAGGAGTGTTAAACTCTGTTACTAGTCTTAAACTCAGGAGAAGGATATAAAGAACACTTTATTAACTGAAATAAATTTCGCAGATGGCACCAATTCGTGTTTACAAAAACCAACACTTTTGGCTTAACTCAAAAAAGTAATGACTAACTTAAATGAAGTTCAGTTTCGCTTTACAGATTCACAGGTTAATTATCGTGCAGGCTGTCTCTGACTCAAAAGTAGGCGTAACGGTAAGACGGGCTCAATGCCACAGATATCTAATCGCTAGCGAAAGCAATACAATAACGTGGCTTTCACATGACCTCCCAAAACCTTCCCTTAAATGCTAACTTCTTTCTACCTCATTTGAATACACGCGCTCTAGATCATTTACATTCTGGTAAGAAAGTATGAGTTGAACACAAGAGCGATAGGAAAACTTTCTTAAACATAAATTATCTGTTAAGTAAATTAAATTAATCCCCACAATATTACGCGTGATGTTATAATAAATATTATATTTTATACAAGAGCTAGGCTTAAACCTTTTTCAATTATTCAATGTTTTCGGCACTCATTCCAAGGATTTATATGACGTAAATATGTAAATTACAAAGGAAATTTAATAGATGAATCAAGTTAACCTTTAACTACTGTGACTTTAAATTGTCGCATAAGTACTGTGAGCGGTCTCGAGACCGCTCCTGCTAAAAACAAAATAAGATATTGTTTTTTTTTTTTTTTTTTTTTTTTCTTATTTGAATAAATATTATTTAATTTCATATATTTAACTTCTTCACGAAGATATAAAGCAATTTTATACTTAAACCAATTCATTAAAATAAAATATATACTATCCTCCTATTTGCAACAAAGATTCAAAGATAATAATTCCTTCGCTTACATATCTGGATGGAAGTAGTAGATTTTAAAATTCAACTTTTTTATTTTGCATTAAAATTTACGATAAGAATGCTTTAATAAGAATATAGAAAATTAACTTTTATTTTAAAAATTATAATTCGAGCTGCATTTCTACTGCTTTGTAGACAAGCTGATTCTTTGCATGCTATATATTTGTAAGCGGTTTTCCTTTTTTTGCTCGGTGAACAAATATAGCACGTTCTTTTTTTTTTTTATCTAATTTATCGTCTTCAATCGCAATGTTTCCTTCATCATCATTTATTCCGAAAACTCTTCTTATTGTAAGTTTGAGTTCTTTAGGTAAAAATGATGAAATTATCCTCCGTTTTACATGGTACTGCACCAATTGAATTGCCAATGAAATCTTTTCGTTTCATTTTCGGAGCCAATGGGATAAGATTGAAATAATACGAATGCATTTGTTGCACGGATAATACAAGTTTCTGAATAATATTGCCATATGTTAACGTCGGGTTCGACGAGCAGTTGAATAGATTGAACGAAGAACAATATTGTGACTACGAGTTCGAACACCCCTGTTGGGCTCTTGAATAGACATTTTTCCAATAAAAAGATTTCTTGTAGAAGGAGAACATGGATTTTCATTTTCATCGGCAGATGTTTCTGAAGTTGTGTCGTGGTCGTTCTCAATAATTTCATCATGGGAACTTTCATCAGAGAACTCTAAATTAGACCAATTTCGAACTATGTATTCAATTTGGTCTTAGGTAAGATATTTAGAACGTTTTCTGCACGCATTTGAAGCCATGTCAAGAATATTTATAAAAAAGCGAAATATGTAACAACAACGAAAAGTGAACTTTATCGGCCGAAATTTGAATCGTATCTGCTGTGATCGGTCCCACAGACCGCTGAGGAGGAAAAATTTTTAAAAGTGAAAGAATAAATATAGCTACCCAAATGCAACTTGGTATGTGACCTTGGACAACTGATTTAGGAAGGTACTAGGAATGGCAATATCCATTAATTATTCTAAGGGGTGGAAGCATTTAATGGAAAATGTCTCGAGGTCTGAGAGACCGCTCACAGTAGTTAAAGGTTAAGATGTGGTTATTTGCTGAAATAACACAAATGCTGAATTATTAACTATTAGATGGATATATTTCAGAGCTTTGTTTCATCCTCTAAATTAATATAATGTAGCTTAATAAAGTTTTTACTTAATGTCGTTTGTTATGTATGTTTAGGATTTTTTCATTTACTCTGAGATGACAGCAATTGATAGAAAAGTTAATGTAACTTTCGATACATCTAAGCTGCATGGAAAATAAATTTTATATATTGTTTCTTTAGTTCATATGAAACTGTAGGTGTCTATATGTTGAAAGTCTCAGATTTTATACTCTAGCAATTACAAACCATTAAACAGTGCTTTACGTTAAACCTTCTTTGAAGCTTTTTGTTTCATGTAGGTAAGTAGTTACTCTAGTTTACTAGGTTACACCACATAATTAAAATGAAGAACAAGCAGATGTTGAAAGAGAAAATTGTCGCAATCAGAAACTTCAGAAAACACTGCAATATCTCAAAGTGCTTAATATTTAAGTTTCAAAAAGATTTTAAAAATATAAGCGTCATAATTTGCAAACTGTCACTGGATGACTTGCATCACAGATGAAACTGGCGACTAGAAAAGCTATAGTCGCAGACGATTCGGAACATTTCCGGAACTCCCGATAGCCCCATCTGGCCCAAATGGAAATGAGTGTACCACCGAGAAGTTAAGCATTGTATTAGTGAACCTGAATAGAAGACCGAATTTCATTCAGTTTTTTTGTGATATATTAAGAGAATCATCTACTTGAATAAACCAAATGTTAAATGCTGACCTTTGCTGCTAACAGTTGGACAGACAAGAGAAAAGAACTGACATCTAAAAGTACAACACTCTTCAATCGCAAAGAAGTTTCGTTCATCATGATGATGCCAGACCACATGCCATTTCAATCACTCTGCAAAAGTTACTGAAACTTGGTTAGGAAGGTCTACCCTACTTAGTGTCTTTCCTTTGAACTTGCTTCCACAGACTACTGTCTCATTATAGAACATATTCACTCTCCAAAACTTCGATGATGAGGAAAATGTAAAAACAGCATTATAATGTTTTTTTTATGCTGAACACACAAGACATTTCCATTGTGGGATAAATCTATTACAATCTATTACCAACAAGACATGTATAATGATGGAGAATCTATACAAGCATAACTATTTTTTTTTTTTTTTTGAGTTCTTCACCTTTTTCACCTTTGACCAAAAAAAAAAAAAAAAACTCGTAGATTTTTTGGACACACTTTAGAAAAGGAAATCCTTAACATAAAAATAAGTTGTTCAAAATGGTAAATATAAATGGTGGGAAACATTTGCAATAATACTATTTTAACGTAAGTTATCTCCTCATGGAGATTATTGCATTTATTCAATAGAGAAAAAAACTCCCTTAAACTGTTGCTGTGCTTTTGTCTTACCATCAATGTTATTTATATTATTGATTTATATGTCTTATTCACTTATTGGTGGATTAACGAAGAAATGAATTATGTACGAGAGTCTAAAATACTGTTACACGTTTGAAGCAAATGCAGTGTGCTGCTGCATATTGTAGAGGGAACTGGTGAGTTGTACATTAAACTTTGAAACTTCATTTTTCGTGTGCCCGAGATTAATCATTAATCAAGATCGAGCTGAAAGTGGGCTACTGCATAGTATAATGATAGCGAGGCTAGAAAGGCAAAATATTTAACCTTTTGAGGCCGGGGCTTTGGTAGCAGTGAAAGCTACCAAAGGACGGGGAATCTTGAACCGAATGCTTTCCCCCTATAAGAAATCACCTCCTATTTGCAACAAAGATTCTTGTATGTAGTTTAATGGATTCTCAGAGGGGTGCATCTATGTCGCAAAAGGAAGATCTTTGAAAGAGATAAGTGGTATAGGGAGGGACGTCAAATTTGACATTTCAACCCACTTTTCAGCCTGGAAAATGGGGGAAAAAGACATGGCCACTAAAGTGGGCAACCCTGTCTTTTCAAAGAAAGGACTCTATGGCCCCTATAATGGCCATCCCGTCTTCAAAAGGTTAATCCAGCTTACAACCGTTAACTGTGGAAAAGAAGAGTTATCGACTGCTTATAACAGGCAACCTTCAGGATACCTTCAGGATGGGTCGATACTAGATACTCTCATTATACGGTGCATTTAAACATGTAGCCATATTTTTTTAAACATGTAGTCACACCCGTTTCAAGCTGACCCTGTATTTGATAGTTAGTCAGTTCTTATAAGTGACATTTAATTAAGGACTGTTACAAGAGTCTGCATTTGAGTAGATCTTTAGTGTGATTCTTTTTTCTGGTTAAGCTCTACATTTTAATTGATTGGAAATAATCTAATTTCTGTTCATTTCTGTGTTAGTCTCCAAAGTGACTACAGAGAAATTGTCTTTAAATATTTGTACATAGGTTAGTTTATGTTTTCCTTCCCTTTGTAAGGATTTATATTATTTTAACTAACGATTTAAAGTTTGAATTTAGACCTTTCCTGTAAGAATACATTTCCCTAATTGTCAGTGCCAGAATAGTTAAATGTTGTAGTGCGCTAATTGCATTTATCTGCTGCCACTAGCTTCAAAGGGGGTTTAAATTACGGGATCTCGCTGAGCCCCGTGGGCTAGTTTTATCACTTGTTAATATTTCAACTTTTAGTTTCAATTATCTGACTTTCATTTACCGCCCAAGCAGAGACGAAGTTTGTTAGCGTCGAGCTGACGCATTGGAAATTTTAAAGATTTAATAAAGAGTACTTTAACTCTTCCCCTGTGTAGTTTCCTACTGCTTCAATTTCAGATAGAAGTTAACCCACCTGGACTCCACAACTTAATGAATAAGTAATTGAGATCTGATACCTCGATAAATGTAAATACGCTTATCGTCACCATCTGAGTTCACACCATCCTCTAGCAAAAGCGCGGAGCTTTTATCGGATGTAAGTTACAGTTGTATATGTTGTTGTTACTTATGCTAACTTGTCTGACGTAGTCAGCCCAAGCCCACGAAATTCCTTGGGGGAAGGAGCTCTAGATTACGCCTGCCGTTGGCAACAGCCTTGAGCACCATTCAGATGACAGTGAGATTTAGCTCAGTTCTGCCCCCAATTTGAATGGAGAATACCCCGGGCAGACGGATCCGTGGGTCTGCAACCCCTCTCCCCTTCCACCAAACCACATGAGAGGACTTTCGGCTCGCCGCATATTTAGAGTGCCTCCATGCTGCACCGACACTATACATTTACAAACATCCATGCTTTCTCCTGTATTCGAATCCCGGGCCCTTCGGCACGGCAGTCAGTGATGCTAACCACTGTACCGGGAGGCACATGTTACATTAGTAAAAGACTGCATACAAAAGGTTAAAAATACCACGTCATACAAAATACTATCACTTAACACATTACCAAAATTTCCTGATTAAAATGAGAATTTTTGTGAGAAAAAATATAGTATAATTGCTACATGCAGAAAATCAGCCACTTTCGTTTACTGTAGTTCAGCATACATAAGGAACAAAACTATGAAAACAGTTTCTGCATATATCAATATTACGAAAGCAAGAGGTTACCTGAGTGAGTTTTCCTGTGCCTACTTCCCACACTTTCAGTGACATGTCATTCGATCCTGTCACGATTGTCTGGCAGTCATAGGTGACAGTAAAGCAGGTGATGGCATCGCTGTGACTTACAGACTTTTCGGAATCCATATCCATCACTGGCCAAAACTTTAGGCTTTTTAAATAAAAAGAAATGAATTATTATTTGAATAATGGAAAATACTTTTACAACAAAAAGTAAATAAATTATTAATAATAAACTGTATATGCATGATTAACTCCTTTATAGTCGTTTATAAGGAACTATCGCATTTTTTCCTGTGTTTTCTTATAGTGTAAGTGCAGCACGTTCAGCTACCGAGATGGTTCGAGTCCTAGAGAGACTATAATTGAATTTTCATGCTTCCAGAAACTTAATAAATCTCTACACGTTTAGTACGATGTTTAAAATAATGCAAATATATCTTTAAAAATATTTTCATGAAATTTAATTATGAAGATTAGTGATACATTAAAAAGATATACATATCTTGCATTACACGAGTTAATGATTATCAAACATTGATTTGACTACAGAATAAATGCCAGTACAATCACAAGTTTTGGTGGATGTGGGGGATCTGTTTTTAACATCAAACCCTTCAGAATTTCAATATAGTTGTAGTGTTTATTTTTGTTCTGTAAATGTCTGAGAATAATAGAGATTTCGAACTTCAGAATAAATGCCTCATCTCTCTTTTACAAATAATAGCATATTATAGTCTAGCTATTATAGTCAGCTTTATGTATTACATAACACGAAACTTGGCATAAAAATCAGTTATTTGTTGCTATAGAAGCACGTCTGCAACATTAACCTTAGTGTTATAGTTGTTACTGTTGTTACCAGTCTCTTTTGCCTGACAAAGGTCAGTACAAGTCAACGACATTCATCGTGGCAACAGGTCATAAGCGCCTGTAGTTGGCTAGAGCTTTGAGCACCATATAGCTGACAGCCCGATTTCGACTGTCTCCCACCCCTCTTGCCCTTTTCGGCTCACTGCATATTTAGAGTGCCCCATGCCACACAGACACTATACATTTACAAACATCCATGCTTTCTCCGGGATTCGAACCTCCACTCTGCCAGTCAGAGTCACTAACCACAAAAATAAAAATGAGGAACGTTTAGGACATGACATTAAATCTGATGACGGAAAACTTTTCCTGACATACTCAAACTTCTACTTACCTTGCATGTTGCAAAATAAATTGGTCCTCTAAAATTCAAGAAGTTAACTATTTTGCTTATTTTCAGATTTGATTGAAAAGCATCGCCTATGTAGCGAAGATTAACAATTGTGAATCGATAGGTATAGCTATAACAAAGGTTGATGGTTGTCAGCTAAGGAAGACAGCGGTGATTTATGATGGATATATCATCCTGGCAGGCGAAAAGAGATCAAAACCAGACAGCGGACAACATTGCTCTGCAATTCGCAGCACAAGGGACGACGAGTGTTCGAGTTTAAAGTGGCCAGACGCTTTCATAAAGGTGAGATCAATAAAGGATCTTTCATTTTTGGAATTTGGCGAGTTTTTCTTTGGGCCAGTTTTCGTAGTTTGTTCTTTAATTGCCGTTTATTGTCGTTTTATTGAATTGTCATACTTTCTATTGTGTATTTGTACGTAAATTCTTTGATGCATTAATCGTGTTTCGTTTCGTATTGTACTGCATTGCATATTATTTTCATTTGAACATTTTTCTTATTGACGCTTCGTATTTTAACTATTTTGCACTGTTTTATAATTTTAGTATTCAGCACCTTTTTTTTTACTTATTTCTCTTTCGATTTAACATGTCAACAGGAGAACCGATTTTGTAGGTTACGTCTGAAGCGTATAAAACTCTTGACGTTTTACGGAGTAGCGGGAAAAATTACGACAGTTGCTTAAGTTTTAGCACACCAGTATATGTAAATATTATACAAAATGCAAAGACAATAAATCAAAAATTTTAAATAAGAAGATATTTTAATTAAAAGAAATAAAATAGATTTCTTTTAATGGAGTACCAAAGACACAGAATGTACAAGTACTTCTGTGTCTTTAGCACTTTTGTGTCTTAGACACAAAATGTACAAGTACTTCTGTGTCTTTCTGAAGTACTTAAAATGAAGTACCAAAGATACAGAATGTACAAGTTACTAAGAATAAGGCAAATGGAAAAACAAATTACAAAAAAGGGAAAATAGCTTAAAATTTGAAAATGCGGAAACTCAAAAAGCATTCAAAAATGAAAACCAAAAGACAGAAGTAGTAGATTGTTTACGAAGCTGCGTTGTACCTGCTGTCGTTTTTACCTCCCACTGCAAACACCATGTTGGCATGGACAGCCACGTTGTGAGAAGGCTTGGAGCAAACTACTAGCTGTACTCCAGTATCGGCCTGCCACAGACGGTGATTACTTTGAGAGTCTACAGACAGAATTCTTCGACTGTCAGATGTTATCGCCACAGCGGTGATTTTACTCTGATGTTCCTATAAATAAGATCATACATTTTATTCTTTTGCCTTTATGTAATCTGTGAGTAAGCCTGATTAAACCTGGGAGGGAAATAGAAAAGGAACTGGTATGACAAAGAAGTGGTAAACAATTTCTGAATTTTAAAATTATTAACATCTTATAATCTCATCTTGATATCTTGAAATAAATCTACGCCAAACTCAAGGCTGTTGTGTCACTAATTTTATATTTCACTTGGCGTATTTCTCTTCTGTTTTAACTTCTAAATTGTTTCAAGAAATATAGACTCAATGCTTTAATACATATCAAGTACAAAACACGCCTCCGGTTTTGAATGCTTATGACTTTAACACTTAAAGAACTACCCTGTCCAAATTTTTTTGCTATAACGTATACGTTCATAAAGTTTTAGTGGTACAGCAGCAGTCTGTTATGCGAGAAATATTGATGCGATCATTCAGCTTCAATGACACGTTTGAATGGTATCCGATGTAAAGAGTTAACTCTTTCACATCGTTAAAGGCCAAAATCTGTTTCAGGATCTGAAATGCCCCTATGTATGAATTTTTGTTCGAATGTATTTCTTTTCCCCCCGTGCAGGTACATAGAATGTTATAGCGTTAACAATAACGTATACTTAAGTGAAATGATTACTTCTCTCTTGGGGACTTTTGTGCGGTTTCACCCACTGTGTTCAGTTTCTCCTTAGGACAAGCTTGAAAGTCAGATCATCAATATCTAAACAAAGGAAAGTGCTTTCAAATAGCAGAACTAATTTAATCGCTTGAAAAGAATGATTAACAACTCCCTAAAAAATAAGCCATGCGCTAATACGATGATCACGAGGTTAGAAAAGGACGCAGGCGAGAGGGCAATTTTGCTGTGAAAGAGCTAACAGCAGCGTTGATATTGCTGCAGGTAGCCTACCTCCGAGCATTACAGGTTCCTCCCTAAAACTCGTAACGTTCCCTTAAATGGGAAAAATGAATGACATTTTCTTAAATATAATTCCAAAGAGATCGTCTCACTTTGACTGAGAAAGTCACTGAACACTGGTAGTTGGGCCTGGGTTCAATACCAGGCGAACTTGTTGGCTTCTGTGGGTTTCCCTATATGTAAAGGCTTAGTGGATAAGAAGTTGGCAAGATTCAGACAACATTATATTTTATGACTTCTTGAAATCAAACATTGTGTCTGTTTTCATCCTCCGCTGTAATTTTTGTAATATTTTTTTTTAAAAATTAGCTTTTTAATAGAAACTCGGGTACTGACTGATGACAACACAGTGAAAAACAAGACTTTTTAAAATTTGTATCCTAAATAATGAAATGAGAAATCAATACCTTAATATAAATGCGGTACTTCGTAATTTTAATATAAATGCTTCGATATAAATTCAGAAAATGCTGTGGTGGAGAAGAGCAAAACAGCATTTTCAGAATGTGAATACAAACCCTTTCTTAATTATAAACCTTTTCAGGAACACTTAAGTAAATATGGGGTTTTACATATAATAAATGATAACACATATGTAAATTAAATGTTAACATAACATAGATGTCCGTTAATATAAATATAAATTATCACAGATATAAGGCAAATATAATTGAATGATAACATAGATATAAGTTTAGGATTTTAGATGTAATGAATGATAGCATAGTTAATAAAATGAGGATGAAAAACAAAATAAACATTTATTCCAATTTTATATCATACTTCTAAATAACAAGTTCTCCAAATTTAAATTTCACAAAGAATGATTACAAAACTATCTAAATTAAATAAAAATAAAACATTTTTTTATTTTTCAGTGACTTCGATGTATTTGAGTCTTCGAATTAATTCTTTTAATGTCAAGCACGATGTTAGAAATCTGAATTACTATTTAATTTGAATTACTATTAAATTCAGAATTTTACAAAGAATGATTACAAAACCATTTTAATTAAATAAAAATAAAAATATTTTTATTTGTCAGTGACTTTGATGTATTTGATTCTTCGAATTACAAATTCTATTAATGTCAGGCACAATGTCAGAAATCTGAATTACTATGTCAGATCAAGTCGGTCTATATATTTGGATTTCGTTGCAATGTAATTTGAGAAATTTGCCTCTTAGAAATATGTTGCCGGAAAAGGAAATATGAGTACCTGATTTTGATAAATTTAAACATTCTTCTCAAAACTTTATCCAAAATCGTTTAACGCTAGTTCTTTATATTTTTGTTTATGCCGGAATCAATTTTGAAAAGAATTAATTTTTTAAACAATAGTAATTTTAACGGTAAGAAGTATCACACTTATTAGTTAGTATTATTAAACATATTATATTACTTACGAATTTCGAAGAGAAGATAAAATAAAAAAGTAAGAATTCCAAAGAAAGCTGATACGTTTACAATACTAAAGCAACACTTAAAACTCTGTATTTCTGAGGACAGAACAGAGCCCTAAATGTATCCTGCGTGTATTTTGCTGGCAATGTAAATCATCTGGTGTATTACTAAATGTATTACGTGAGCGATTTAAATCTCTTTATATTTTGGTTTCTCTCTAAAATTTCATTTTTAAGAATTTTTTTAAATTGTGTTAAATATACAAAAGCTGACAATGTTTCGTTGTCCTTTAACATGAGTTTCACATTTCGAGGAACACTTAATGGATGTTTCGGAACACAGTCTGAAAAACACTTTTCACTTAACACAAAATACTGGCTGATTTAAAAGCCATTATGTGTTAAAGAATTTGTATAATTGCTACAAATTAAAATAATTTAATTTACAATATATTCAAGTGATAATTTTTGGACATAAATAGCTTTATTGTAGTTAATAAAAATTATTTTTAAATCCATATATTGCGCTATTGCATAACAGTTTCCTAAGTTTGCTAATGTTTTAGTTATTATTGTTATTTTTCGAAGTTATAACTGCAAACATTTTAAGATTTATAAAACTCACCGGTAATTTTACGTTCATTTACTTTCGTGCTTTTCTTTTTCTTTTCTTTTTTTTTTTCAATCTTCACCAGAACATATGTTTGTTAAGGTTTAAATAGAAGTGAAACAGGTATTTAGAGAAGATGGTTCGGTCACTCGTTTATCTTGAGAGTGAACAAGTGTTGAGTCGTTAATTTGCTGGTTGTCTAATCATTATTGGTGTTAGGCAGTGTTCAACTGTAATGAAGCTGAAGCTTGTTATATGCAGTTTTATTACATCCTTTAAGTTTAAATATTGTGCATTAAACACAGGTAGTTGTAGACAATTTCGATTAATTTTGAATATTATTGTTAAGTGAACGAAAAATAGTAAAGATTTATTACTTGTGTCACTGAAACTCGATGCATATATTAGTAAGTTTGTGACACCGATAATTTCAAAAAGAAAAATTATAATTTTTCATCATGAAATCGTGTTCATTCATTTGATTTTTCATAGCTTTGAAGAGCAGATTATATCATATTCGAAATCACTTGCAATTGCTTTCCTACCGTCATTTAGAATACCTTACCTCCAAAATGGCGTTAAATTATTTTCGGAAAGTTACGTAGTGCCAATGCGACGACAAAATAATTTAATAGCAATTAAGAAAAATGAACCAAGGACATCATTCTTTATTTGTTTGTGTGCTGAATGCGCATAAATCTACTTTGAAATCAACATCAATAAATTCGAAGAATGTAATGCGTTAACAAATGGAATAAAGCATAAGATTTTTATATATTTACAAACTATACCTGAAATGTTGAGACTATAAGCCCTAGCGTGAGGCCCCAGACTTTAAGTGTGGCGTCATCTGATCCTGAAACAGCAAACAAGCCATTCGGGGAGAAAGCCACACAAGTAATACTGGCTGTATGTCCTTTCAGACTAGCGTGGAGTTCTCCTGAATTCAGCTGCCAGACTTTCACTACTTTATCCCTGGAACCTTAAAGAAAGAAAAATAAATTGCTAATTCAAGTTATAGCCAAATGCTTCTAAGAGTTTTTAATTAAAGCTTGGAAAGATTAAGAAATATTGAAACAAATAAAAGTCGCCATATGATATTATCTGATATTAATTTACGAATTTGAACTGAATACTTTACTTAAAAACATTAAGTTGGTACGATTACTTACTAGTTTAGACTTAATTTCCCAGAAATTGAGAAAGAAAGTATAGAAATCCATAAATGTTCCGATTATTATTTTACGGTAAAAAGTTGGAAGAAAACAACTGTTGGTCTTATAATGTACATATAGTAAAAATTAGTAAGTGTAATGAAATCAACACAATAATTATATAGTTATTATTTATTATATAGTTAAGTACATTTACGTTACTATGTATTCGACTGGATAAGTAAAAGACATAAAGCAATTTTTTTATTTCACTAACATTTCAGTAGCATATGAAATGAAGCAGATGAGATCAAGTAGTGATCTCTAAAGTCTTTAAATAAATTACTTTAAAAGAACTGTATACTCCCTGATGAAACTGTTTAAAGATATCATTTATCTCAAGCTACCATTAGACCATCGATCACGTATAGAGTGAAACACTGAACATTTCAATTATGCAAAACAGCAATGCCAGAGTGAAATCAGTCACTTTGTTCTTTTCTTTGCAATTCTTGACTAGAGAATTAGGACATTGTTTATCTTGGGAAAACAGTTTCCATCAAGCATTAATTCTAGAGGGATGGAAGACATCAATTTATTTCCGAGAACTTGTAATACCTCCTTCCCTTAGGACTATTTACATTTCAGAAGTAGATGGGAGTTGATTACGCTATGTTTCCAAAGGAAGTTCAATGTTCTCTGCATTACTCGATGTTCACTTACATCACGTAACATAGTGTTCAATGGTCTGTAACTCAGAAGATTTTTCAGCGTTGTTGACTGTTAATCGATGTCAATGAAAGGAAATGTCCTGCGTAGTACTTTTTTTACAGTAAGATTGATGTGTGTGATGTTCCGAAGTAGAGCAATGTGAAATTTGCTAATTTTCATTCTCTAGCAGTTATAAAAACCTTTGGATTGTGAAGATTTCTAGAGTAAGAAAGGCTTGCACAAATTATTATCCCTTTTTTGAGAAATTAACTTTGATAGCTGAGAGATTCCCAAATCTTTCTAAAAATCTAAAATTTATAGAATAATTTTGCTATGTCAGCGAATTTCATCCAGTGGACTACTGATGTTCCAATATATTTGATTTTCAGAGTTAGGCGAGGTATTTTGCTGATGTTTCTCAGGATTCTATTATATTTTTCTTCTTCAGTACTTTCCAGTAATCAATATTTTACACAACTTTTAGTTCTTTCACCTGTTACTTTTATTGCTGTGGGGATATCTTAATAACCACGATCAATTTAACCTTCTCAGTCTCACTCTATATAAGCAAAATTTCGGAAAAGCGCCGTGAAATTAGAAATAATACGTTCCAGAGAGTATTGTTACGGATTTTGTACTTCGTTAGCATTATTTTGGTAGAACTATAATTAAAATTGTTAAATTTTCCCGAGCAATGCAGCGCGTGACGAGTTTTAAGAGAAAGCTACTACGCAAGAAAAATACAGGAGAACTCGTATTTAACAATTAATAAATAGATAACTGATAATTGTACTCTTTTGCTTTCCAGAAAACGCCAAATTCTTCTCGTGCATGATTAAAAAGCTTATAAAAGCCGGAGGAAAACATCTCAATGTAGTTGTTTACTAAGTTTTTGTTGCTGATTGCAGCGAATTCGCGGTGAGATCGGATTAGCTTTCTCTGCTTTGAATTGTGTTCTATTTAACGTTTTAGTAATTCTAAATATAACTACTGTGAGATACTGGGATATTGTACGATTATCTCTGAAAACATTTCATCATTTTGGTTTGTTTCTTGAGATAAGAATAAACTGTACGAACATTTTATCGACTTGTGCATTCAATCCATTACGAAACCGTACGCACGCAACAGTATTATTAATTTACAAAAATTATGTGTTCAGTACTTTGAACATTAAAAGGTTTCTAGCAAAAGTTAACTTTTGTTTTGTTTTGTTTCGTTTCTACCTGTGATATTCGATTTTTATAACTTAAAGAATTTGACTATCTTTAGTAACATAAACTAGTACGAAACCCTAACCGACTTAGAATGGATTATCATATGGCCTGAGACGTTAAGAGTGGGTTACCGCTTGGTCTAAAGATACATAAAAAGCATATTTTTTGTTTATCTTGAAATGCACGTCCTATGTTTGAGAATATCACCAGTTGTGGCAATGTAACTTAAAGTAACAGTCAAATTCAAATTAAAACTGAAGCTAGTAGTCAAAGACTATGCAATTTATTTAAAATCTATGTTGGCTCAGAGCTTCGTAACAATTTAATCGCAAAGCCGAATAATTACAATGGTATCAAAGCTGGCAAAGCTTTGTAACGTGGCTCCGACAGGCAGAAACAGGTTCCGTCTTACAATCCTAAAATTTCAGCTTGAATACTGTCTAACAGATTTATGTTTATAATGAAGAAACGGAAAATGAGAAGTTGTAGTAAAGATCTAAATCATAATAACGAGGTAATTAAAATAATATAATAACCATACACACTTTATAACACTAATTAATAGTTGTTAATAGAAATCTTCTGACCTTAAACCGTCAGACACTGATCTAAAACCAAATTAATTGCATTAATTGCATTAAATTAATTTGAGAATCATTATAGTGTTTTCATAAGTTTTCAGATGTCTGATGTAATTTTCATCATGGCTAAATAAATAAGCTATGATCTAATTTTTATAGAGGATAATGATATATGATAGGAAGTATTAACTGATTGATTTGCGTACTGAATTATTTCGCAAACCGATTTAGAAAGCAGATTTTTTTTGCATGTTATTAATTACATAAAAAACGAATTTCTCAGCTACATAGGGATTATGAAATCAGGTAGCTGCCATTTTCAGATGTGGCATGCATCTCTAATCTGGCAATAATATTGTCAAAATGTTTTACTAAGTTTCAAGAAATGTATCATGGCGTAGCTAAAAACATGTAAAGTAGGAAATTAACATTCTCCGAATGGTACATGCAGTACTCACTCAGAATCGTTTGTTAGTGAATAATCAAAAATAAAATACTTCAGTTCTTTTTCTAAGTTTTTTCATATTTTACCTGAAACTGCAAGAGATCCGTCTCTTGAAACAGCAACACATGTAACTGGCTCTTGATGCTTATCTTCTTTCCTGCTGCGGGATTTTGGGCCGAACATTTCAGATTTTTTACAGAAGAAATTCCATACAACGATCTTATTACCTCCTGATGTTATAAGAAATCGATCGTTGTCTTGAGCCTAAAGAAAAAAATCTACCGTTAAAATGAAATTTATCATCATTTCAAAATAAAAAGGTATATTACACTAAAAATTCTTTGAAATATCATAGAAGAGTAATTTTAAAACTTTAAAATGTTGTATAGTCACTAAGTTCAATAAAGTTTAGAAAAATGTCTAAAATTTATGTGTTTCTAATTATAGAATTTGAAAGAACATTGCATTTTTAAATGAATTCTTTGCGAAAAGTAATTCATATTTCAAAACTAAAGTACATATATACACAGATAAAATTACGAAGGGCCTTTTGCATGCAAGTGAGAATGAACACTAAGCATATTTTACATAAAATACTCATGTAATGTTTTTACACATGTATGTGGTAATAAACATTTTACATAGGTTTGTATTTCGAATTTGGTACTATTCCGTTTTGAGGACCGTAAAAAAATTGCAGCGAAAATATATGCGTAAAAGGGCCAAAACTAGAAAACGTGCACATTTAACAGAGCGCCAAATCTAGAGTACGCGCTGATTTCAAATTGCGTAAGTTTAGATAGTTCTGTATTTCTTAAGATGCCATTGAAATACTAGTTTAATTTTTAAATACTTTTTTGATTTTAAATCCTTTTTTGATATCCTATGGATTTAACAATTTGGGAATTGCCCATGACGAAAAGTCAATAGAATTTTTCTAAGAAAAGGCATCATTCATTATAGAAAATTGTGTTTGAACAACCAACGAGATGAAATTATGCTTTAGCTATGACTCGGTAGCGAAATAACGATGCAGGAATCCATTCAGTTATGTTTAGCCATTTTTTATATAAATTATAATAATGATCTGAAATAGTTATTTATTCTTATGCTTCCATTCAGTTATGTTTAGCCTTTTTCATATAAATTATAACAATAAAAAAGTATTATATGAAATTAACCTTTCATCTAAATTAAAACAATAACCTTTTAGATAGTTATTTACTATTATACTTCCTTTTTTTGTGTTAGGGTTGCCGCAATTATTTTTGGCAGCACTGGCATCAACAATAGTTTGGCGATTTTTTACAGTCCTCAAAACGGAATCGTATCCGCATTTTTTACACATCTGAAAATTTTAACTAAATATTTTATCTCGGTATGGTATATTTTAAAACAAGGAACAGCGCAAGAAAGTAGTTTAAAACAAGGAACGAACGAAAATTAACACATGCAAATTGCAATGATATAATTTAAAAGAAATTTTATACACTTTTAATAATAGAGATAAAAAATTAATTCATTTATAATAAAACATTACTAAGCTAAACCTTCAGCAAATGCGAAATAATATATCTGTAAGAAAACAAAAGTTGCAGTATGAATTCAATAGGAAAAAAAGAAAAAAAAATGCAAATCAAGTAATGCCATCTAGAAATAAAAAAGTAAACTAAAGTAAATAATGCGGGATAGTCAAGAAGTAAAATTTTGAAAAGGAGATAACCGTACCACATACGGTAAATCTTGCTAAACAACAAAATGGTTGCTTGTATAATCTACGGTATTTGACCAAAATTGTTAAGTGGGTAAATTAATTAGTTTCCAGTATTTCTGCACGAGAACGCTGGCTGTAAAATAAAAATCGGTAAATAATAAACAGAATAAACTTTCGTGAATATGAAATAACTGCTAAACATTTATAGACTACTTCTTTTTTGCAACGAGATTCTAGACTTTCATTTCATTCATTTCAGATATTTTGCAATAGAAATCTAATGCAACGATTTTATTGTTATGTGATATTATGACAAATTGTTATTTTGGATGAAATTATTTATCCTTTTTTTAAACAGATGACTCTCAAGAGTTTTGTAACAATTAACTATTTAATATAGCTAACAAGCATTCATAAATATGCACATGGTAAATGAATCTAATTTGAATGCATTCTTTTTAGCACTTTTAGGCTGTTTCTCAGTATTTTGAATATTAGCCATTCTTGGTTAAAGCCATGGATTTATCTGCATATGTCACTCGAGTAAAAGTATTATCTAAGGACGAATAAAAGACAGAAGAAATACTGAATAAAAGTGAAAATTATTAAAAAATAAAACGTTTAACAGTTAAAAAATGCAACAAATAATATATAGAAATAAATAATATAGGAAAACAAAGAAACTGATGCATATTGAAAGCATAGAATAGAAGAAAACGCGATCTAAAATAGTAAATCTTTACAAATTACAAAGCTAGTTTATATTAAGGGTATATGTTTTTTCAAGTTCTTTCAAATTCCAAAAGCTTTTTTCTTCTCTAATTCAAAAATGTAAAAAAATAATAGTAAGTAATAATTAATAACTTAATTTCTTTAATAGAAAAATAATGGAAATAAAAATGTCCTTCTAACAAAATAAATAACTAAATATTTTCCAGTAAATATTTTAAATCTTAGTTTGAATTTTTAGATCAATGGCATTTTAGGCAAAGCAACAACTTTGTGTTTGGTGTAAATTTCAGCCAAGATTCTATTAATTTCGAAGGCAAACAGGTACAGGTCGCTCTTCATCAGCAACAAAGAAATATGCAACGAAGGAAAAGCCGTGGCTGTATTTACACGCAAAAGACATAAAGCGAACGAAAAGGTAGCGCCATCTATCTAAAGAAATCTACAGTTTGAGTGTATACATGTTTGCCTCGATCAAGACTCCAATGAGTCTTGACTAAAATCTTCACCAAACACTAGGTTGTCGAATGGCATTTCTTTTTTATTATGTCGTGTAAAATTCCGAGAATTGCCGAGAAAATTGCGAACTTTTCAAGTAAAGCTTTAATTCTCAATCTGATTTTCTTTGGATTTTTCCTAAATGTTCAATATTTGTCTGTTTCCTAGTTGTAGTAAATTAGACTGCATTTGACATAAAACTTATAAAATAAAATTTTGTTCTGTTATCATTTCCGTTACGTAAAAAAATGTAATAAAAATAGACAAATATGTAAATAAACTAAAATCACTTTATAGTATTAACAGAATTGGTATCAGAAGGCTACCGAAGCAATGACAGTGATAAATGCTTGTACAAATATCTTAATTTTTGGTTCGTGAAAGGGGAACTCGAATTCACAACCTAAGTACGGAGATGTGTCTAATGATTATCATAAAATAAAGGCGGATTTAAAGCGATTTTAACGTAATAGCTTCAAGTAAAGAATATTTAAGAAAACTTCAGTCCTCGGTATATGCTCCTGAATTAGTAAAAGGATAAATTTGAGAAGAAAATGTATAGTACCATAAATTATAAAGGAATCTCGAGATAAAATTCTAATAAAAAGACTTCAGTTAGTAACATTAATTTAGAAAAGACAGCATAGGAAAATTGTATTTTAAAAGGATGTTGCTCAATTTGATTGCTGAGAAGCAATATTCAAAACATCTGCGCTATGTATTACAATTAAGGCAACCTTTTTTAAAAATGCTCTGATCCATTCTATTTGGTATTTTCTGACATAACGTAGTGTACAGATAAGAAAGAAGTTATTTCTAGGAATACATATAACTCATCATCGCGTAAAAATTTAACATTTGAAGACACTGAAAGGCAGCATATGATTCTAAAGTTACATAAAGTGTTCACTATGCGCTTTAAGGAAAGTGTAAGAAGTGTAAGTGACATGTTGGCCTTTTTTTGACAGAGAGACTTAACAATTCTTCGATTATACGAAATTCCAGGAGTTCCCGCGATCAGAAGTCATACTAACAAAATCTGAAAGTGGGGAAACAAAACATCTGAAAGCATCAGCAGTTGGCACGAGCTTCATCAAAGTTGGTCCGAAGCAATCCCTTCAATTTCTAATTAGAATAAAGTATTGCTCAATCTTACACAAATACGGTGGTCTCCAAGACAACTCCTTCGTGTAAAGCAGAAAGCATAAGCTGCTCAAAAGGTGGCTTTAACTGGCACTTGCAGCAATGTGCTTTAATGGAGCATAAAAAAAGTCACTGACGTGAAAAAAAATAAGCCAAGGCAAAAAGTAGCTATTTAGTCACACAATAGAGAAATGTAATCGGTTTCAAGCATATGTTTTTACACACCATTACAGATATACAAATTCTGATATGTACACCACATAACTTTCTTGTACGGAATATTAAATTATACGCATTTTTTCTTGCATTTCATTTAAACTTATTGAATTGAATTAAATCTACTTCGTCGATAGCGCATAAACCACAATAGAATAAATGCACTCTTTAAAATTCACTCTATTTGTTTACAATAGCAACGCTCTGGCGCTACGTTCACTTAACAGCGTTATATTTCGTTCATATTTTAGCTCTGCACAAAATTTATATCATTTGAAGAATTATCGAATCGTTGCCACATGTTCTATTCAATTATTATAATAAATCTAGACTCATGTATACAAGAAATTAAGCAAACAAAAAAAAAAAAAAAAAAAAAGAAACAGCTTTTCACAGACGATTCAGTATTTCTCATTCAATTAATTCAGTTCTCACTTCGAGACAAGGCAAAAATACTTAAAAATGCAGAATATCTATATTAAAAATTACGAAGTAAATCTTAAACACTTATTTCCTCGAAAAAATTCCAGAAAGGATTAAGCATGATTTAATTCGCAATAATAAATGAAGGCGTTATCTTTGTTGTTGCGAAGCTTAGTCTCTCTAGATTGGAAACAAATCTACTATACTGCTGTTTCAATTGTAAAGAAACATATCCGCCATGTTATTTAAAAATTGGGTTTAACCACACTTAAACAGCTTTTAAATTGTTGATAATTATACAAATATTGCTTGCAGATTTCCGAAAGGCATAAAAACCTTAACCGGAAGATAAGAACTACATAATTCGATCATTTTTAAAGCAAAAAATGCACAATTTACAAGAGTAAAGAAACTGAGATCACTGAGCCGGGTAACAGAGTGGATATATATATAAATATATTTATATACTCGTACGTTTGGTGCGGCCGATTGCAACTAAAATACGAGGTGCACATTTACATGCTATAGCAGTCTTATATACAAAATTTCAACGTTCTGAAGCTATTCGTTTTTGAGTTATGCGAGATACATACGTAACATACATACGTACAGACACCACGAAAAATTCTCTTCAGAATTCATTTTAAGGCAGTTTTATAATTTTTTTGAAGGAAAAGAATTTTTTATTCTGTTCTTACGTACAGATGTCACGCAAAAACATCGTTAAATTGCATTCGTTAGCGGTCAAAATGGATATTTTCGTTGAAATATGCTGCCTAAAATGCTTCGCAATTACAATACTTCCTTTTTACTTCGTACAAGGAAATAAACATTATATGTTTGGTCAACTAAGTATTTGTCACATTCACCTAGTTAAAATGTGTCTCTTCAGTCCAAAATTTAAGACCAAACGCCTATAAGCAAATCTCATCGATTCAGATCACGTTTAACCACTCCACGATATCGTTGTCTAACACACCACATTACATTTGGCTAATTATAAACCTCTTTCCATAAATAAGGGACAGAAAAGCATGTACTTCAGCTTAAGAATTCATCGAAGGATTTTACGCACTTGTATCTCTCCCTGTACCGATAAACTAATCGAACGAAAGCGAGTATTTTCTTCTTTTAAGTAATATATGCAGAACGGATTAACTGAAAATGCTGCTTACTTTCCATATAATAAAAAAATTTTTGCTTGCATAACTTTTCTGTTAAAATGTCATCGATGGCAAAGTTTACAAACTACATTTTCATTCTAGAAAGTATTTTCCTATAATTAACATATATGCCAAGTTTCAATTTCATATGACAATTAGAAAAGACTACAGACGATTTTGAAGAGGATTGCTTACTTATTAACAACTCAGTATCTCAACAAGTCGTCTTGTGTCTTGTATAATCTTACCTGAATGCTGGAGACAGGATCACTGTGTCCTGTGAGGGTCTGTAACAGCTTCGCAGAATGTATGTCAAAGAGATAGATTTTTCCATCTTTGCAACCAACCACACATCTGCAATTGTCCCTGGCGAAACATAAAGATGTAACTGGAGACGTATGGCCGTAAAGGCAATGAACATCGGAGCCCGTGGTCAATGACCGTACATGTACAGATTGGTCAGTACAGGCAAGTAACAAGAATGTTGAATCCCATGAGATATCCATATGGGTAATGGGAGAAGTGAGATGGATTGTATTCAGCAAGGTGAAATCTTCCAGACTCCATATACAAACGCAACGGTCTGTGGAAGCTACAAATGTAAGAATCAACAAATTACAATATTTGCGATAAATGAATGCAAGAAATAATCTTAAAATTAGACTGAAATGTAATAATGGCAGAATTAATGAATTTTAAAACTAGATTTTAATGTAGAAAAAGAGAGATGAAAAACACTTAAAATTTCATAACAGGAAAACTAGCACATATTATAACATGGAAAATAGTTATTTAAAAATTCTACTTAAAAATATATTTATCTATTTAGTAAATCCATAATGTGCAAAAATTTAGAAACGTTTTAAAATGAAAAAGTGTAAAATTTAGAGATCTTTAAAACAGTTTACATGATTATTAAAGGCAGAAAAAAATGAAAATGTTAGATGTCGGATTTATAACTGAAAATGGTTGCTCATACAATGCCTTGAAAATAAGTTAAAAACCACTAAACTAAAATCTCTATAAATTAAAAAAATATTTCTTTTTCTATACGTTAGCAAGACAATTCAAATAGCGGTTTCAGTACGCCTTTCATTCAAAGAGGTATTTTCTGAATCTTTATTATATGCGGCTTAAGTCTCTGTTTGTCGCCGATAGTTTTTTGGTTGCTTGCGTAACTGTACTAGCCAATGGGGTGAAGTTGCCACGGCATTCAAATAGTCCATATACACTGATATCATACATACAGTTATCATTGTTTTAATTAAATTATCATGGTATTTAAGAACATTTAAATATTTTTAATTCATACAGTTGTTGCTTATTATGCATTTAACTACATTTACATATGAATTACCAAATTTGCAAACGTTGAGAAATTAAAGGAGACGAAACCAACTAACGAGTTGCGCGTAGTACATCTCAGGTAGGTTTACCCAAATTCCTATGCTAAATATTCTTTCGCGAAAGAGTTTAAAATGTTGGACGATTTTATTCCGACATTATATTTTCAACTGAATTTTCAGCTGAACGCAAATTGGGCGTGTCAGGGGGAACGTAAACATTTGTTTGCATTAGAAATCATCTGTTTATAATCAATTTATAATATTTAGAATAGTCATTTCGTATAACCGCCGGGCTTTCTAGTTTCATCATATGGAGATAGCAAAGAAAACAAATTTCTCCACAGCTGACATAAGTAACTACGCTTTAAGTCTTGGTAAAACCTTTAACTTTGACTTGAAGAACTCTAAAAAAAGGCACGAAATCCTTTAAACGTTTCATGCGTGAAATTGATAATATTTAAAACACTAAAAATTTAATCTAATCTAAGAAATAAAAAATCAAAACAGAATATACCAAAATAAGATTTCTTTTCTTGAACGTCATGCATAATTTTAAAGTCTGATCATATATTATGTATTAAAAATTATTATTATTTCGTCTTTTGGCATTAAATCGCTCCATCTCCATAATGAAATCAATTTAAATTTTATACTGTAATCGGTTAATTATATTACATACAGTTTAAGCTTTCCCTATGAATGGTTTACAAGCACTTGCACAATAATATTTACTTGATCATCTTTTCATTCTGACCACCGCTTCATTTTCAAAGCAATAACATCGGTTGCTTCATTCTCGAAGCGTCTCTGGATGCAATAAAATGTGCTAGATAGTTTAATCTTTAAATACAGAGGAAGTTCTTTCAGTTCTGTTTGCATGACACAGTTAATTTCGTTTTCGTATATTTTACTTTACCTGAAGCAAAAATATCATCTCCAGAGTTGACTGCTACGCTGCTAATGACACCTCTATGGTTTTCCAGTTTATGGATCACTTGACCATTATCTCTTCTACTGATAGCTACGACCCCTGAGTCTGAGCCGCTAATAATAAGTACTTCAGAATGGATAGTCGTTAGGCACTGTACACCTGAAGTATGGTGCCTGAAAGTAAATATATTTTCTTAATATAAGTGGTTTCAAAGCAAGCTAACAAATGCTCTCTCTTTCATACAGTATTTATTAAGTATTAATACAAAAATCTATTTGCCCAACGTCTAAAACTACTACTAAAACATCACATAGCACTCATTTCTGCGTAATTATATTTATCTATAAAGCACGGTTATGACTATAACCGTGTTTTATAGATAAATATAATTTATCTATAATAATATAATAATATATAAATAATATATAATAATATAATTTATCTATAATAAGTTTTATAGATAAATATATTTATCTATAAACACGGTTATGACTATAACTGTGTTTATAGATAAATAAATCTGCCATACTCGCTGAGGAATTTAATATTAAGAATGAATCCCGTAATTTAAGTTAATATTTCGGAATAATAAAATCTTCTGCAAACAAGTGTTAGCAGAAGCTTGAAATAAGAAGCTTACTTAGCTTGAAATAAGATTTCACGTACATTCATAAATTTCAATAATATTTCGTGTACAGAATTACTTTCTTCATGAAAACATGTTGAAAGTTAACAGCTTTGTTGCATATTCTACTTCTTAATTTTAATACTTAGAAGTTTGTGAAAACGAACGCGTGAAAAATGCCAGTTTTTTGCATAAAATACATATAGAATTTCAGAATATCGTTAAAGTGACTTTATATTGACATCATGCTTAAAATCTTCAGTAGCAGTTCTTGTGTCATTATTTTTTCTACCGTTTAACGACTTCTGATTATTTGTGTCATATATTAGGGAATAAATTGCTAACTAATAATTGCTAATAATTACTAACTAATAATCGAGTCTAGCCAACTGAGATCAGGGGATAAAATGGCTTTTCCCGACAGATAAATCTATTCAAAGATTTACATATTATTTATACTAAAAACACAATTTCTTTCATAAATGGTTTTGACCGTTAATAAATGTCTTTCTGCTTTCAACGATGAGTTAAATATTTCTCAATGCAAGATTATTATTATTTTAAAAATAAAACAGATTTCCAAAATTACGTCAGTTTGTGAACGATATCTCCTTTCTCTACATTCCAAACTATGATTTCCGAATCTTTGGATCCACTGAGAAGCCATCTTCCCGATGGTGTCAGGTACAGACATGTTATTCGTGCCTTGTGCCCTGTAAAAGAATAGAATTTTAAAGATAAATACGCCAACGTACAGTATTGGATTAATATTTTAAATGATATTGATGAACATCAATTGTTACTTAACATTTAAATTTAGTTGAATGTGAAAGTTACCTTGTGTTTACAGATACTGACATATTTTCGATGTAATAATGAAACATTTGCACTGAAAATAATTGACGTGAGTTGATATGAGTGACGTGAAGTGAATATGTGTTATATCTAACTAACTATATATTGTTATTACGCTGAATCCTGATATAGATTTAAATTGTCCTCAAGTTTAATAGATTATAGCTAATAAATCATTAAAATCAGCTATGTTATCGAAGATTCAAAACGCGTATTTCGTGAGGAAATAAAATCTGTTCTATAACTAATTAATACTATAGATAATAACTACTTAGATTACGAATGGTCTATATCTCTTTAACATAATACCGCAAACATCTAAATTTCGCTTTAAAGTATATGTATAGATAAATTTCATTAAGAACTGTGATATGTATGTAAAAATTAATACCTTAAATTTAAGTGGTTTAAAATATATTAAATAGGAATCAGTTACTGCTCAAATATAGTCCTTGTACGATGAAAATTATATGCAACTTCAAATCAAGTAAAAGTTTAAAAAAACGTACTTTCTTGCAAATTAGGGAGATAGAAAAGCATCGTATACTAACGGATATATTGCACTATACGTAATAACTGTATAAAAGTTAGCACATAATCAGAAAATTCAGAAAAAATCAAAAAATTATTTAATAGGAAAAACGCAATGAAAAGAAGAGGTAATAGACCATGAATGGAAGATGATAAAAACAACTTGATATTACCATAAACGCGAAATTTGCTATTAAGCTGTGGTCACTAAAGTTATCTTATCAGTTACTGTATAATTCGTTATACATGGTAATCTGTGTGTATACGTCGAGAGGTAACGTTTTGCTGAAAACGTTTATACAAAATTGTAAACAACCTATGCAACCCGAATTTTAAACCATGCTATCTATCCAGCTAGCTACATATATTGCCAGATATGCAAATAACTTGTGGTCTAACATAGATAAGCTTATTCGACGACCTGAAGACAAATGCCGAGTCACTCTCTACTTCTCTTGGAATACCACAGGATAGATCAATGTTGATGAAAAGGCAGTTTCTCCATCAGAAACTTTTTTTTCTCATTTCATTCAAATTCAAGGTATGTGCATTATTTGGAACTTTGGATATACCCTGGTGACATTCATTTTAGTTGTTATTTGCGGTAATTATTTTCAAGCAATAGCGAGATTTTTTTCCTCCATCATTTGCACTCTTGCTTTTACGATTAAAACACAATTCTTTATAAGAGATATTGTAAAGGTGACGTAAAGACGTTTTCGGTATCGTAAAGACTCGAAATGCTGTAACTTTTAAGTGCTTTTAATATTTTCGTGATGTAATTTTGAATTTAATATTTTGTTTCTAGTGAGTGGCCAGATCTATTCAACAACAACAAGAGAAATTCAACACATGGGAAACAACAACAAGAGAAATTCAACACAAGAAGAAATAACAACAACAATTCTTTATTTTTATTATGTTCGAAAAAAGTCTATATATTATTCTAATTTTAATTAAGAGCTCAGCAATCCTAAAGAAGGAACTGAAGGTGATCATCTGATGGTCAAACGTAATTCACCAAGCTTCTCATACCAGAGAAAGGATTATTAGAACACTTTATGTCGGCTAGCGATATTGAGAAATATGATTAATGTATTGTTACGAATTTGGTATTTAAAAAGCTAATGTTAGTTCAATTATAAATTAAATGGTTTTATTTCTCGCGCAGTGCAGCGCGTGACGAATATTAAAAGAAAGCTAAGCCGGAAAAATTAAAAATACAAGAGCGCGTGCGTTAAATAAATAAATATCACTTTTTGATTTCCAGAAAGTACTAGAAAATTCTAGCGCGTGATTTTAAAATCTTATAAAAGGAGGAAAACATCTCAGTTTGTAGTAGTTGCTTAGTTTGTTGTTGTTTAGAAAACTGCTGTTGTTGATTATAGCGAATTCGCGGATTAGCGTTCTATTGTACATTTGAGTAGTTAAAAGATAACTACTGTGAGATATTGTAATACTGCATGATAATTTGAGAAAATTTAAGCATTTTTGTTGTGATAATAAAAAGTTTTGTTCATTTTTCATCGGACTTGTGCATTCACTTCATAACGAACCCGTACGCACGCAACAATTTTTGGTGTCAGAAGTGGGGTTTGAATGCCAATAACAAGATGGAAGAACAATTCAGGCAAATGATGACTGCATTTGCTGCTTTCCAAGAAAAGATGGAAGGAGCCGTCAACTCCGTTAAAGAAGAAAATTAAAGGCGAGATGAAATTGGGCCAAGAATCCGTTAAGGAAGAGATGGAGGCCATCAAGCTGGTCAATTAACTTTTTAAGACGAAATAAAAGCCGTTACAAGTAAAGATTGAAGAAAGTCAATACGAAATGAAAAGAGAAATTGCCTGCATAATAGAAACCAAATTCGATGCTATGGAAGGTAGAATAGATGTGGTTGAAAATAAAGTTGGAGACAAATTGAAGAAAAGGTTTCTTCTGTCAAAGATGAAATAGAAGATAGAGAGTTCGGCTGTGGAGCGACAAGTCGAAGGAAGAGTTTCGGTCTTCCAAAAACAAATTGAAGAAAGAGTTTCTGCCGTCCAAGGACATATTGAAAACAACAAATCGAAGACAGAATTTCTGCTGCAGTCGCCAAAGAAGTTGACACTTTAAAGAAATTCGTAGCGACGGCAGGGAGCAATTCGGATGGTTTTAAATTTCTACCCATGCCTGCTCGTCCCTCTCTGAAGCTATCGACATATGATGGGAAGACCTCCTGGCAGGTGTATAAGACACAATTTTCTATCGTGGCGGATGCGAATGGATGGGATTCCCAAGCTAAGGCCTGTCATCTCGCCGCTTCTTTAAGAGCCGACGCAGCGGATATCCTTCAGACTCTTCCCGAAAACAAAAGGTTAGATTTCGAAGCTCTGTCCGGCGCCTTGGAGCTGCGCTTCGGGGAGAAATGTTTAAAAGACTACAGCAGGCTCCAATTAAAATCCCGTCAACAGAAGCCACCGAAACACTTCAGGAGCTCGCCACGGATGTTGAAAGGCTGTCCCACCTCGCCTTTTCGGAGTGCCCGACAGAAACAAGGGAAATCCTGTCGCTGCAATATTTCATCGATGGCATCCGGGACCCTGAAATACAGAAAGCTCTGCGAATGGCGGATGTAAAGATGTAAAAAGCGCTCTGTTGTACGCCATGAAATTCGAGGCAGCCCAGCAAGCAACTCTTAGAGATCGCTACCCAGTCAGAGCTGTGCGAGTCCACGAGCCAGGGGATCAACTGATGGCTCGTTTAGATGATTTATCCAGACAAGTCGACGCTTTGATACGGAGTAGTAGCAGTGAGAACAAAGTGGCTCGTAAGGTGTTGGAGATGTGGTTCTGAAGGTCACCTACGACGGCATTGCAGAAACACCCCAGGGCACGGATAATATAAAACGGATGAGTTGACAAGACCAGTGAATGCTTTAAGACGGAATAGTGGTGAAAAGAAACCGACCCTAAAGTGCTGGAAATTGCGGTGTTGAAGGCCACCTACGAAGGAACTGCAGAACTCCCCAGAGCACGGAAAATAAGGCATACGATTTAAACAGACAATTAAATGCCACGGGAAGGAAAAGGACTGACAAGAAACCAAAGTGCTGGAACTGCGGAGCTGAAGGCCACGTACGAAGAATTGCAGAACACCCCAGGGTACGGAAAATAAGACCATTTCCCAGCAACGACGCAGGAAACAAATTAATGACCATATCGAGGAACGGAGGTTGCCAGATAATGAAAAACCCTGTTTTAAAGCGCTTAAGATTTCTACAGTGAGTGGCAACAGTAACGGACTGTCCATCAATGGGAATATCGATGGAGTTCCTTGCAATATGATCATTGACACAGGAGCTAATGTTACCATCATTAGGAAAGATTTAGCTGAACAGTTTAAAGATAAACTTATTTGGACGCCATCCTGTGTTACCCTTCAGACTGCGTCTGGTGACAAGATCGACATAACTGGGAAGTTAAACGTAAACATCACGTTTGGAAGTGCCGCCTACCATCACACGGCATATGTGGCGGATATCACAGATCCATGCATACTCGGATTGGACTTTTTAAGGAAATACAATTTTTCCTTAGACTTGAAAAACAACAAACTGCTTTCAGCATCTGATGACATGACTATCCATCCTCAAAAGGGATCCTCGCCTGGAAATGTCGACGCCTTGTCCGAAAGACCCAGCTCAGGAAGCTGCCGAAATCATACTAGGGTCGAAAAGAAACGCAAGACTACCAGCTATTCTCCATCCCAGATGCTCTTCGGTCGAGACCTTCGTCTGCCTTGTGACCGCCTGTTTGATCGCCATACGGATGCGCCTTCATCGCCTGAGGAACACATCCAAGATGTCCAGGCCCGTTTTGTGAAGTGATGCACCGTTCCGCACGAAAGCGAGTGAACTTGGCGACGGAGAAAATGTGAAGACCAGATGCGACACGAGAGCTACTGGACATAGATTCCAACAAAGGAGACAAGGTGTGTTGTGGAACCCGACTTCAACGAAAAGGACTCTGAGTCCTAAATTACAGTCACCTTCGGATGGTCCATATACAGTCCTGAAACACGAATGACGTCGTGGTTCGGATCCGTGAAGTCTTCGAACTCTTACGACAGGTTAGCTCATTACTATGGCCATAGTACGTAATGTAAATAATTGTAAATAGTATCAAGACCATGGTCCTTTTTGTTTTAAATGTGTATTTGATTTGATTTGTATTTAGTATTTGATTTGTATTTGTATTTGATAGCATTTGATTTGTTTTATTTATTGCATTTATTGTTCATGTTGTTTATTATTGTAATGTAATGCTTATTAATTGCATTTATGCCACAGTTGTAAGTTTAGGCTTCCTGTCCAGGGATTGTACTGCCCGGGACGTGCAGTCCTTGGGAAGGGGGCAGTGTTACGAATTTGGTATTTAAAAAGCTAATGTTAGTTCAATTATAAATTAAATGGTTTTATTTCTCGCGCAGTGCAGCGCGTGACGAATATTAAAAGAAAGCTAAGCCGGAAAAATTGAAAAATACAAGAGCGCGTGCATTAAATAAATAAATATCTCTTTTTGATTTCGAGAAAGTACTGGAAAATTCTAGCGCGTGATTTTAAAATCTTATAAAAGGAGGAAAACATCTCAGTTCGTAGTAGTTGCTTAGTTTGTTGGTTTGTTGTTTAGAAAACTGCTCTTGTTGATTGTAGCGAATTCGCGGATTAGCGTTCTTTAGCTGTTTTGAATTACGTTCTATTGGACATTTGAGTAGTGAAAAGATAACTACTGTGAGATATTGTAATACTGCATGATAATTTGAGAAAATTTAAGCATTTTTGTTGTGATAATAATAAATTTTTGTTCATTTTTCATCGGACTTGTGCATTCATTTCATAACGAACCCGTACGCACGCAACAGTAAAATTAATAAAAAAGCTCTTTAAACTATAGTCTTGGGATAAATTTCTATCTTATATTACTTATAAAAGTCAACCCAAAAATACAATAAAAAATCAGCAAAATATTATTTACACAAAACTGAGCAATAAATTAGTGTTTTGTCGGTGGTATATGATGTTACAGAGTTAGTTTTGAAATTAGAACTGATATAATTCCAGAAAATAACCGTAATTTATTTTGATGTTTGGAGTGTTTACATTTTGTACTTCAAACTGTTTATGCAATCCATTTGGACGCTCAGATTTGTTCATTTACATGTTCTTCGCAGTAATAAGCTTTGTATAATAACGAGAATGAGTAATAATACGGAGTGTATAAACAGGTCTTAAATGACAATTATGTTTAGTCTTGTGAGAAAATGAAATAATATTAACATAATATGAATCATTTACTTATTCTGCGAACAAGCATTATGTTGCAGTAGTATTCTTGTATTCTAAAACAAACAAACAAACAAACAAAAAAACAAACAAAAAAAAAATGCTACAATATCCATTAACTGACTGCCAAACGGGGGAAGAATAGGCAAATTTAAATAAAAATTGACATTGATATCGACATCAATTAAAAATGAATGCTATAAATAAAATCACAATAAATGCTGTTTACTGTCCGCTAATCTAAATGCACCGAAATTGCGAAATTTCAAATTTTTATATTTTTTATAAATTCAGACTACTTCTACTAAATGTAATCCAATTAATATATAATACACTTAGAAGTATATATCAAAACGGTTATAGGTCAGCAACGTTCTGAAACCCATAGCAGGTGCAACGTTATATCGTATCGCTAACGCTATCTCCAGTTGCAATACGCTATATATCGTGTTGATAAGGAAGCCATCTAGCCTGGGAGTTACCAAATGTCTTTGTATCATATAATCATTAATTTCAAACGCTTGTTTTGTTCACATTCGTACTTGTAAATTTCGGAAAAGTTTTTCAGTTTTTAACAGTTAAATATTGCTCTCTGTAACTGACATAAGTTGGCAGTTAGAGTCTTACCTGGAAACATGCGAACAAAATTTCGGGAAGGTAGATGGTACATTTCAATGTTGGTTTCTTGAGAACAACATATCACATGTTGACTATCAGGCGTGCTCACCATGTGTGTGATAGGGTGGGGACAAGTCATCATTGTCACTTGAGGTGGAAGACTTAGAGTCAACCAGTTGTTTTGAGGCACAAGTATAGGGATGACGTTATTGTTACACCATTCGCGAGCATTGTTAACCAAGTGATCCATGGTTTCAGTAGTACCATCTGAAGAAAAGGTTTATAGTAAAATAAAGCTATACATTTTAATAAATGAAGAAGTTCAAACTTTTATCTGTTCGTTTAGGAAAAAAGGATAATTATATTTTACATCACAATGACATTTTTTGTAACATTTTTCAATTCATATTATTAAAAAAATGGTAAAATAGATGATATATCTAGGATACACAATCGGTCGGACTGTCTTTCTGTAGCATACTTCCACACTACGAAGCTTGACTAAACGTGATGAATAAAGATACTAATTAGCATCATTTTTAGATGAACAAGAAACATGGATATTTAAAACTTCTAAATTCGATTTCATAGACACTTAAAAATAACAACAATTAACCAAGAGACATTGAACTAGCGTAAAACAGAGATAAAAGAAAGAAAACTTACTGTAAAAATGTGCAAATTAGAATGCAATAATTTTTGATTAAATTAATTAAATGGGGCTTGTTTATTATACTTCTTCATTTTAATAAACACATACTTAGGCATATTACCCATTAAGCTATCTTTAAACTGGCGTACAACTAAGAATCTCGAAACTTACTCAAGAATGGTCTCAACCAGTTGATGATTTCGGTTGCTAATTGTTGCGGATCTTGGCTAAGAACATCCACAGATTGTTTTGTCATGCTGTAAAGCAACTCCACTTCCCAGTCCAGCATCTACATATAAATATATTAATGAATCAATTATCAATCGGAAAAAGGTTTAGAAAAAACTAAACCTAATACGAAAGAATTAAGGATTAATTGTTATTAATTTGATAATTTTTAACATACACATATCGATAAGTTACCGCACATTTTTTAAATTTTTCTCTTATTTTTAAATCACCGCACAGAAGTGGCGGCCTGTAACATCGTGAACAAAAACGCCGGCTAATCTTTGGAATATGGTAACAGGTAGTTTGGAGACATTTTGGTAAGGCGATAAAGGTTACTAGCTAGGATTTAACCTGTACTGGATAAAGTCAAGAGTGGTGCATGCCATTTTTGTGCAATCTGCATGTTTTTTTTTTTTTAAGGAAATAGGTGTGTGTACATGGATGATACCGTGTATGTCCAATCTAAAAACGCGCGGCAGTTTGCGATGCACTTTTCTCATTTTCGCAACCTAATCTTCGTTTGATTAAGCACTTTTGTTCATAAAAGTTCTAGCATAAGCGTAATTCGGCTAGCAGATTGTTGGAAAAAATTTTCAGTAAAATAAAAAAGAAAAAAAGAAACATGCCTTTACTTCGTGAGAACAAAATGGCGTCCAAACAAAAACTAGCAGGTTGTTGTAGCAGGGTTGGTCGCCAAATGTTCGCCAAAAAATCGCCAAGTTGCCATAATCCAAAGATTAACCAAAACGCCCTAGAGAAACAATGCAAGGAGAAAACATCGACCTATAAAACATGCGATGAAAGCGACGGAAAACAAAAGATGAAAAAACGAGGGAAGAACGTATTTTCTGAAATATAGTAGTTCTGAAATATTGCAATATAAAACATCATTTAAGATATGAAATAATGATGGGATTTTGCAATTTGAAAACGTCGTCATAAAAGGCATTCTGGTAAAAAATTAAGCAGCTACAAAACATCGAATGAACAAACATCGCAACAATACGCATTTATACCGGATAAGATATTTAGAATTCCATGAAACATAGCTTTTGAAATTGCAGTATTATTTTCAGTGAAGCAAATACTCTCTAAGATGGCCACTCGTAGTTTCAGATGATTTTAATCTTCTCTGGATGTAGTGTTTTTAGGGAATATGATGTTAAATAATGATGTTAATTTTTCTCTTTAGAAATATTTTTTACTTTCATAGGTAGTCGTCTTTGAGAGCTGGCTAACCAAGAAACATTTCTTGCATTTTAATTGTCTAAAGAATATAAAAAGCATTTTTTCCTATGACTTTTAGATATTGATTAATGTGCAGATCGAAATTAGTTATCAGTATCTTTCGTTTAATATGCATATCCTTGTTTATTGGTATTGTACTTAAGTAGTTTTAATTCATGATTTTGACATTTTTAAGAATTTTTTCATAGACACAGAACATATTGCTCTACTAATTATTCAAAAATTATTGTTACAGAACAATCACAAAACACAGATTCTAGTATAGTATTCTGTAATTATTCTGTATTGTTACAGAGTAATTACAGAATAATCACAAAACATATTGCTCTACTAATTATTCAAAAATTATTGTTCATATGCAATTAGATGTCGTGATCTTTCCTTTTTTTCTGATAGGTTGACCTATGCGTAATATAATGTCGAACAGAAGCTCCCGCTGTATTCGCAGAAATTGTGCCTGTCATTCGTACTAATTCTCTAATAAGGATTAAGCAAAAATGACCCATTTTGGGTCGTTAAACCACTTTCTAAAGTACCAGTGTTCAAAATGACGCTGATAGTACTTTTCTTAAAATCTGATGTTAAAATCCTCTCCATATACAGAAAGCTAGAACCCTAAGTTATGAGTATCAATAACGGTTTTCATTAGGTGGAAACAACCAGCGTCCAATAGTAACCTGCTGCAAAGAAAAATGAAACTAGTGCAGTCTAATGTTCTGCATGAGGATGAACTAGAGAAAAATACAGAAACAAAGACTGCAAATAAATCCTACATCTAATTTCACAGATATATGCAGGAAAAAATACACGTTTTTTGCAAAAATGTAAATAACCCGTTACTTAAAAGCAATGGCTGATAGGAAAAATGGAAACTAATTCTTAAATCAGGGCGAAAGTTCAGAATTTAAGTGTGTTTAGCAAAGACTATGTTAAAATTTATAGTTCAGTTAAATAATACATATTTGTAGTTCATTTTGAAGAAACGCTTGAAAAGTTTAATAAAACTAGATAGCAAATGTAGCAAAATTTTGCTATTCTTAAAAAAAGAAAGTTCACAATGCAAAAGCTACGAGGTATACTTTATTCTCGTAATGCATTAAAATAGTTGTATTCCATGATTTCCAAGTGTTCCATTGTTTCCAAATGAGTCAAAACTCGACTTTAGGTTGGCACTGCTTTTGAAGAGAAAATCGTGAAATCCGTTGAATGCTAATTCAGAAGGCTCTCATGGGCTCGTTCCTATGAAATCAGTGTCAATCTACCGCTGAATATTACTTAGTTATAAATTTGAATTTTCCATGTTTATTATGCGTTATAATACTCCAAAGTGCAAATTGCACGTTAAAATACTCAATGTCCAAATTCACAGCGTTACCTGACATCTCACTATTTCCAGTACACTGCGAGTATAACTGATTGAAGCGCCCCTAGTAGCAGCAAGAAGAAAATCGAAGTTGCAAACTGCATCTTGCTTCAACTTCTTATGATCTCCTGCAAAATAGAGATTGCGATTAAAATTCTTTAGAGGTTAAATAACAATAAATAATTTACGTTTTGATAAAATTCTTAAAACATTTCATCCTGTGTGTGAAATTAACGTAAATGCTTTAAAAGCATATATTCCAATTCTAAATAAAAGATCTAGGGTATTCGAAATTATAACATAATTCCTATACATTTCAACTTTTCAAGATGCAGTAGCTTTATCGTATCAGAAGATTAAATATCCACAGTAGTAATGCACTAACATTTTACCTCAAAATTATGATAATAAATAAATAAGGATTCACAAAACACGCCACACAGTGATCAGTAACACAATAAAATGTAACAAAAATAACACATTAAAGAATTTCTTTTCGTGGCAGTTTCCCGACCATTAGCCTACATAAGCATGAGGGATTCTCATCTATATTTCATGATTTACAGATTGTTGTAACCAAACATTGTGTATGCAATGAAATTTCTATTTCATACCTACAAATGAAAGACGCTTTTCTTGATCTGTCCTCTCCTGAATTCCACCCCATTAAAGATACGGTACATCATAAGTCACTTATGCAATAACAATGCAATATTTATACCTTAGTTCACTGTATTTAAGGATAAATTGAAATACCAGACAATTTAGCAAACAGTAGAGTGTAGAATAATAGAGAAGCTGATCGCCACTGATGATTGTTATAAATATTTCGTACGTTAGAATCCCACAGATGTTCAAGTAAAATTTAGAACAACATCATAGATAAAAGGAATTGCTCTTTGATTAGGAAACTACTACTCATCTAAATAAGAAATGTATAGTTATGGATATTTACTTTATATTAGTATGCTTTCACTGTCCGCGAAGGCATCAGAACTGCTAGCAGTTGCATGAAACTTGGAAGACGAATAAAAGTAATTTTATGCTTGATAACCAATAATACTTCGAACTTTCTATGGTATTATGATAATTATGAGTGCTTCATTAAAGAGTGACACATCTGTAAGCTATAATGTAATTTGGAGCAGCTACATTGTCGTGCAGAAATTAAGGACGAAATGGTGGAGAAATTAAAATAAAAATGGAACAAGACAACAGAACGACCCAAAAGACCAGTCAGGAAATGGAATTGGGATAGGTACATTACGGCATGCTCATATATGGTACATGACATAAGGGGAAGGAGTGTTGGAGGGATATCGCTCACGAGTGATGTACGCTCACCAATTCATTGAAAGATATTGCGCGGTGGATAGAGAATTCAAGGTCATCCAATTGCTACTACCGCAATATATGGCAAAAAGGACATCCAAGAGACATCATCTGGATGACTTGGCGACAGGTCGAACCCCTGGAAGCCAGAAAAATTTCAAAGTGTGACATATGCGGCGGAGGACTTTGAGATCACTTACAACATCGTTTCATGAGACTGTACAGCATTTAAAACGGCAGTAACAGCTGTTCTAGAGTTCAACAACAGTCGTCCATGAACAACAATGTCGGTGGACGAGCGTTATAATGTCATACTTACGAGAAGAAGCAGATGGCGAACAGCGGAAATTATCCTAAAGCATTTGCAGAGACTACTAAATACCCTATATCACCTTCTCAATAAGAAATGTAGAGTTATGGATATTTATGTTTTCTGGATGCGTTATCTATATCTGCATAAAGAAATGTAGATATAGATAATGCATCCAGAAAACTGCACAAACGTGGTCTATATTCCCGACGACCAGTAAGGTCTGTACTGTTAACGGCTGCTTATCGAGGATGCCGGTTTTTCTTGTGCCGAGAACACGCGAACTGGAAATAACAAGAATGGGGTTGAATGTTCTCTGTGGATGAGAGCCAGTTTTAGTCTGACAAGTGATTCGATACGTGTACAGATAACCCCTGCAGAAATAAGGGGTCAGCCCTCTAACATCATCGAAAGGGTCTACTTAGGAAATGCTGCAGCTCTAGGTGGGGGTAGCATTATGCTTGGCAGCAGTACTGGCCTGCACATCTCCCAAGGAGTTTCAGTCACTGGTGCTTGCTATTGTGAAGAGGTTCTCTAGTCTCATGTGCGATACACATCAACCTACAGCAGCTGTCGCATCGTACAATAACAGCGCTACATCTCATCGTACAGTATCTTGGAGAATGAAGGTATTCAAGGTATGGATTAATCTGCAAGGTCTTCAGAACTAAATATCATAGAACATGTGTGGAGCCTTTTCTAGAGTCTCTTGTCACCACGTGACCAGCCGCCAGCAGGATTCCTCAACTGAAATTTTAGCAACCAGAAGAATGCACCACAATGTTTCAGCAGCACGTTGACAAGCTTTCCCTTACGTTGTAATTTCCGAATCGCTGTCAGAGGTGATATTATCCCTTTCTAAAGCCTAGATCTTTCTTGCCATATGCTATCACATGAATATCTCTGTCTTCTATAAAGTTGCACTCAGAGTCATCTTTTAAATAAAGTGTTCTTTTATCTTTTTTATTCTTTGTTAGGAAGTTTTGGCCATACGTCCATATCTTCCCGTCTTGGGTGTATTATGGTATGATTTGGGTTGATGAAGAACACTTCTCTAAGACGTTATATTCAAAAACCTATTTTGTCCTTAAAATTTGAACACCAGTGTAGTTGCATGATGGTAAAACTATAAATCATATGCAAAATTGCTCTCCGTTTCTTTAAACTTGTAATTGTTTAGAGACATCAGAATTTACAAAGTTCTGTTATTTTGAATTACCTCTTAGTATTAAGTTAATTGCTTTGCAGTTTCCTACCCTTATATTGTAGTGCACTGAACGTATAAATATATTATCTTATCGTACATATTATGCCAATATAATAAAAAGTTAATTCATTTATGGTCCTTTATTTTATGGAACCCAGAAGAAATGATTACATTGTATGATACAGAACAGTAAAAATCAAACTTGATAACTGATTTTAAAAATGAACTTCTGTAATGGATGAATTCTTACATGCTTTATAAGTAATCAAGATAAATAAGTCGAATGTCTGAAAAAAGGAATTAAATTAAGAAAAAAAATTAAACCAGAAAGGTACGATTAGAATGCAACGTATAAGTTAGGAAGGAAAGAAGGAAGGTTAGGAAATGACATGAAGACAAACCACTTAATTCGACTGACCACTGAGCATGAAGTGGTACCAGAGCTCATCAATCTCTCTCAACATATCCGACCAGTCTTCTTTACGTTTCGACTTGGATTCGTCCAGAGGAGAACCCTGAAACACAGAAGAGTTAGCATTCGAGGTAATGAAAGATGTCATTAGAAGATAGCAGGCACTAGACTCTGCGGAAGGAAATTCATACCAAAGAAAATTATACGAATACATCAGTCGAGATAATTGCTTAATACTACTTTATATTTATCTTGCTGAACTGGCATTTTTATTTCATAAATTATAAGGTATTTTTCTCGCCTTTTCAGCACGCTTTCCTGGCGCAGTGGTCAGCACAGTCGGCGCGCATTCGAGAGGTCCGTGGTTCGAGTCCCAGCGAGGGCATTGCTCATTTATCATGTCTTCAGCATAAAAAAAATGCCTAATGTTTCTACAATGGCGCCCGAACTAAAATGGGTGGTGGATGATGATTCTCCACCACCAGGATTTGGCGATTGGGTCATCCCCTAATCCTCAGCCGCCCTTTAAAAGGGGGTGTATAAGGTATTACTCCCGCCTTCTTAGCAAGACTTCGTGGTGTAGTGCACACTCGGCACGTATTCGAGAGGTCCATGGTTCGAGTCTCGGTGAGGGCATTGCTAATTTTTCACGTCTTCAGCGTCAATGTCTCTACAAAGTATTATTTCTTTGTATTTCTTTTGAAATAGTATAAGCTAAATTCCTAGGGCAACTAATTTTAAACAAAAGAAATCAAAGAAATGTGAGTAGATTTGCAAAAACTTAGTTTTGAAAGTTAAATGGAATCTTCTTCCTCAGCCGCGGGTCGATGAATGAAGAAAAGGACATATATGCCTACGTGAGAACAATCTCTTGGCTGCTCTGCCGGCGTGACTCGAGTGATCCGCACTACAGATCCAACTCCCCCTCAGGACTAGGCGCGGAGATTCAACCTCCGCTCTGGCCCCTCAGGAGAGCTAGCGCACCATCTGGAATTCACCAGGCAGCACTGGTCGTTAATTTGCTACCTGTAAGTCGCATGGGCGAGCCCGTCGCAGTAAGTCATTACCCAGCAAACTGGGGGGCGTCCACCTCTCGGCTACCAGCATCTAGGTAAGAAAGGAAGGAGTGGCCAACCGGCACTAGAAGTGAAGCACTGCTTCGAAGCTTCGGTCACCAGATGGAGTGTTCTTTGTTTACATTCAGACGCTCGCTCGACACTGTTCTGATAGTATTTCGACACACGACAGTTCCATACAAATCGAAAAAGGGACACTTTCGAGAATGAAAGAAACATTCATAGTGTGATGGATTTGTATAGTTTAGTGACATTTACACAAAAATCACATCTTGGTTATTTTTCGATAACTAACAACAGCGATTTTGATTATGAATTTGTTTTATAAAATTCTAAGCTCTTGAACTACAAAAATATAGATTTTAAGAAAAATGTTATGGTTAAAGAATGAAAAATACCTTACGGTACCTTTAAAATTGTATACGTCTTTCGATACCCTTGATAGAGTAATCGCTACTTTTATTTTATGTTCCAAATGCCAAAATGTTTTAAATAAAATAAATTTTTTTCACATCCACATATTATTGTAACATGTACCTTTTAAAATTTTTCAGAGGAGAGGCTTTACTGTTGCTCATTTTAAACTCATCGTTTTAATTTTATATATCTAAAAATAATCACTTTGGGATTACACGTTTTACTTATTTGGGTTAATTAAAATAAAATCCTTATTTTATTCCTTTCAGAAATGTCAGAGAAAGTTAAAGTACTATTTAAGTATCGTATTTCGCTAATTTCTAATAATTTCTAATTAAAATGAACGAATAGAGTATTAATTATAAATTGACTTATATTTTCGATTTAAAAGATTGCCTCAGAAAGCCAAAAAATCATGTCATATTTAAGAACGTATTTTAGGAAGAAACTCTATAATAGAAAAGAAATAATGCATAATTTTAACATAATAATACAATAAACTTTGATCTTAATTTTTGTACCTTAACCGAATAAAAAATCGAATTACCTTAAATTTTTTTTCTGATGTAATTAACGAAAACTTGTGAAAATACTTCCTTCAAATAAACCATTCTGAGAAACAGTTTTTCTGTGAAAGTATAACATTTTATTCCGTTCAGAATGAAATGTTGTTTAAAATATGTTGTTTTCATATACTTGGACTCTGAAGTGTTGTAGAAAAATAAAATATATACATTTATATGTATTTACGATGTAATTACAAAATTTACATCTGATCTCGCGTCAAACCCATTGAAACTTAATGGTAAATGACCCAATGTTTTGGTCACCACGTAGGGATCGCCGGTGCTTCAGAGCAGGGTACGGGAGAAACCTGTTTAGGGCCACTCCATCTTACTTCCTACCTCTATGGCTACCAGAGCCGTATCGCTGAGGACAGGCCAGACCCCGAGGCCGGCGAATAAATGACCTTCAGAACCACCAAGTTCATACATTTTATACCCCCGTGGCGGAGCCTGCCTAGGTACAGATCCTAGCCAGTAGCTTCTCAGAGTTCTCGACCCCCGGGGGGAGCCTACGTGAGAACAGCAGAAAAAAAAATTGAAAGTGTTCTAAAATGTTCAAATAACCATTAAAATATTGAATGAGCTCCATTACTATAAGAATTTGAAATTACAAATTTAGAATTATTTACGTTTTCCATTACTATATTTTTATTGGATTATTAGAACTGATTATCCAAATTAAAAATCGATATAAAGAAGGGATTTACTTGATTGCATTTGATGGATAACACCGTCCGACAGAGGAAGGAAAGAAGTAAAGTTGAGGGCCTAACCAGTTTCTTTTCTTTATAGGCTTAAAGCAGAGAATATCCCGCCTTGTTTATCAAAATATTTAGTGATTTGCCATTAAAACCCACTTTCGACACTTTTGGCTGTAAATATTCCGTAATTAAGTTGCAATATCTACTTATTAAGTTTTTGGTGTGACAGCTGAAGTACGTGCAGCAACCAGACAGGAGAAGGGTAAAAAAGCACCTTTTATTAAGACTCTTCAAAATTCACAATGTTAACTTGAAGTTAACAAACTACGCCTCGCTCGGGCGATAACTCAAATAACAAGAACTAAACTAAAAACTCAAAGATATTAACAAAGAGTAGAATTATTCTCCAGGATTCGGATAATCCTGTTACCTAAAACTGCGTTGAAGTCTAGTGGCAGTAAAGTAATAGCTGAATAGCTGTTACGCCACAATTCACCAGGAATAAATGCAGAACTAGAAACTCACGCTATCAAGGTAAAGTGTTTGCCTGCACTCTCTAACGTTCCCTTCATGAACTCTATCCCGAGTATTTAAAACTTTTCGTCCTCAAGGTTGAATTTACCTTCCTTCACGCATGCTACTAAATAAAAATATTCTGGCACTGACAATTAGCAGAATGAAGGCTTATGGGAAAGCGTAAACGTAAACTTAACTGGTTATTCAAAATAAATATAAATTTCTATTTTAGAAATTTATATTTATATATGACCCGGGGGTCATAAAATTGTCCGCATAAATGCATATATTTTCTTTTTTTTTTACAATATTTCAGAGTCCTAACTATGTGAAAGAATTCTCTTTTAACCCTTTGCGGCACAGTGTGTCCGGTCTGGACACACCTAAAAATTTCCTTCTGTACGCACAGGATTTATAAGTTACTATAGGTTACTCTGAACCTTCTTTATTTATAGTAGATGGCAGCTCAACACAAACCAGTCCATATATTTTAGCCACGTTTAGTTTTTTAAGAGCCTCATTTTTCAAAGAAATCTTCCAGATTTTTTAGGGTATAAAAGGATTTGTTTTAAAAGAAATTTCTATGTTATTTTTTTGCCTGTATGCTAATCTTCTTATTCTATATTAGTTTTAAATTTTTACCTTGAAATCTTGCCTAAAATTAAACGGCGAACCCTAGGTGTGGCCAGACCGGGCTCACCGGTAATCTAGGACAACTGAGAGTCTGTATTCTTTGCTTCTCCGCATCTCATCGGTCATTGACAACAATGCTCGTTTCAGCACTCTTTTCGAAGATCTATCCAATCAGTGTGCCACTTTGGGCACACTCACAGAATTAAAACGATCTTTACAAAATTTTACTTGTGTACTCCTCTAGGCCTAATTAGACTGTCTACCTTTTCTTTTTTTCTTTTTTTTCTTTCTTTCTTTTTTTTTTTTTTTTTTTTTTTTATCAATACTTTGACTTTAAAAGGTAGCGTGTCGGAAAGGGTTAAACAACGTTTCATTCTAAACGAAATTAAACGCTATACTCTTACTTTAGAAAGGTAGTAGTAACTACTTAGCTATCAATTTAAACAAATTTAACTCCTATGTTAATAGCAGTTTGAATCTGAACGAAACGTTTTGGCAAGTTTTTGTTAATTATATTAAGAAGAAATTTAATACAAATCGGTTTCCTTTGATTAACAATTACAAAAATTAAAATAAAATTATATGTAATTTACATTTTTTCATTAAAATAAGACGTTATTTCTTTCATAGAGACCCTCTTTCCGAAATATTATTTCAAATTTTAGGTGAATTTTAGCTAAGTTTAGCTAATTTTAGCTTTTTAAATCGAAAATCATAATCTTTCTAAAATTAATGCTCTCTTTTGTTTGTTTCAAATTAGAGCACTTTTAATTTTAATAGTGCTCTAATTCGGATATTTAAGGGTTAGAATTTCAGCTGATCTCTGTTTTCCATGTAATTTACTTGAATGAGAATTTAGGCAAGGGAAATAGGAAAAATGCTCATTAGTTAAGGTTCTTAGAAAGTCTTACATGAAGATATTCCTCCCTTTAGAAAGATAGCCATCGTGAGCTTCAAATAACTTGTAGAGACATTAGGTTAATTGGAAAAGCCGAAGAGATGAAAAATGAACAATCGCCTTCGCCGGGAATCGAACCACGGACCTCTGGAATACCGACCCAGCGTGCAGAACCACTCCACCACGAAGGCACGTTAGAAAAGCGGGAGAAATACCTTATATACTCCCCTTTTTAAAGGGCAACTAGGGTTTTTAGGGAACTAATCGCCAAATCCTCGGCGTGGAGAAACCTCATC